TGCCTTTTGATTTTGATCTCAACCTTTTTTCCTCATTAAGAGAGATTTTGAGTTTTTTCCTTTTGAACTTTGATCGCGACCTTTGTTTCCTCGTTAAGAGAGATTTTCAGTTTTTTCTTGTTATTAATAAAAAGCAATATCAGCTGAACCCTCTGCGTCCGAGTCCTCCTCCTTCCTGCCTGACAGTACACACTGGCCAGAATGGACTCGGCAGAGAAGGACCAGCTGACGGAGGCGCTGCGCGCTCAAGCATCAAGACTGGCGCAGCATGAAGACCTTGTTGCTGACCTCGATCGAGGGGTTCGGGGACTTGCTCAAAGCCAGGAGGGGTTTAAGACTGCCATGACCACGCAGGTGGGACTCCTAAACAGTCAGGTAGAACAAATTCTCACCTTGCTCTCCAGGAACCCCGCGGCTTCTCCCGAACAACCCCCCACGCCGTCTGAGCCCCCTCCCGTAGCCACACCAGCAGATGCGTGCACGAGGCTGACACCTCCGGAACGATACTCCGGAACCATCGGACAAAGTAGGTCCTTCATCATTGAATGTGAAATGCACTTCGAGCACTCTCCGATGCACTTTCCCACAGAACGGTCCAAGGTTGCCTTCATGATGTCCCATCTCACGGGAAGGGCCAAGGCATGGGCCACCGCTGAGTGGGCTAGGAGTTCGGCAGTTTGCTCATCACCAAAGAAGTTTGCCGACGCTCTCAGACTTGTTTTTGACCCTGTGGCAACAGACCGAGAAAGGGCTCGTGAGCTCAGTCAGATAAAGCAAGGTGGACAGTCCGTTTGTGAATACGCCATACGTTTTTCCGCACCCTGGCGATGGAGAGTGGGTGGAACCCCACGTCCCTCTACGATGTTTTTCTGAGAGGGCTCTCCGACCAGATCCAGGACCTCTTGGTCCCATTGGACCTGCCTCTGGACCTCGATTCCCTCATCGCCCTCGCCATCCGCACCGACAACCGCCTACAGGAACGGAGGCGGCAGCGTGGGCCCAGAGGGACACCCGCTGCACCTGGCTCTTCCCCGACGCTCTGGGGCGCCGCATCGCGTCAAACCTCCCCTGAGCGACTCTCAAGAACCCGTGCCGGAGGCGAGGAGGAGCCCATGCAGATGGGGAGGGCCCGGCTCTCTCAAGAGGAACGACAGCGACGCTACCAGGAGGGCAGATGCTTTTACTGCGGCGAGCGTGGCCACCTCATCACCGCCTGTCCAGTAAAGGCCAACCAGTCGGTGAGTCAAGTCGCCGAAGTTACTCCTACTCCACGCCGATTGACCACAGTGAGGATTAAGCACCGGGATAAGGACCTAGAGCTGGGGGTATTGATTGACTCAGGGGCAGATGAGAGCCTAATCGACTGGGGGTTAGCACAAAGACTGGGGCTTCGGGTTGACCCGTTGAGTAAACCGGTTAAAGCGAGCGCACTTAATGGAAGTGCATTGTTCACTATAACCCATGTTACAGAACCGGTGGAGCTTCGCATCACCAATCACTGGGAGCGCATACAGCTGTATTTAATACACTCACCTCTGCACCATCTCATCCTCGGGTTCCCATGGTTAATTCATCACAACCCACACATAAACTGGCGCACCGGGGACATTATGGTATGGGGGGAGGGTTGTAGGACCCAATGTCGGGAATCATGCCCCCAAGGGAAGAACCCCACGCTAAACCGTGTCGTCACTCACCCTGTCACAGACTCGGAGATCACTAATCTGACTCAAGTTCCAAGCTGCTACCACCACCTCGCTGAGGTTTTTAGTAAGAGCAAGGCCACAGCTCTACCACCTCATCGCCCGTTCGACTGCGCCATTGACCTTCTGCCCGGCTCCACCATCCCGAAGGGCCGTCTTTACTCTGTTTCCGGGCCCGAGAGGCAGGCCATGAAGGACTACATCGAATCCTCCCTGAGGGCGGGGTTGATCCGACCTTCCTCGTCCCCAGCAGGGGCAGGTTTTTTCTTTGTGGGAAAAAAGGATGGAACCCTTCGCCCCTGCATTGACTACAGCCCGCTTAACGACATAACCGTTAAGAACAGATACCCTCTACCTCTCATGACCTCAGTATTCGACCAGCTTCAACAGGCGCAGATTTTTACCAAACTGGACTTACGCAACGCCTATCACTTGGACGCATTAGGGAAGGGGATGAGTGGAAAACGGCGTTCAACACGCCGTCTGGACATTATGAATACCTGGTCATGCCCTTTGGTCTCACAAACGCCCCAGCAGTTTTTCAAGCGATGATAAACGATGTGTTAAGAGACTTTTTAGACCAGTTTGTGTATGTGTATTTAGATGACATTCTGATTTATTCCCCCGACCTAAACACCCATAGGAACCATGTTGAACTCGTCCTGCAACGTCTCTTAGACAACGGGTTATATGTGAAGGCGGAGAAGAGTGAATTTCATGCCGATACTGTCGCCTTCCTGGGCTTTATCGTAGCCCCTGGGAGGGTTCAGATGGATCCGGCTAAAGTAAGCGCGGTAGTAGAGTGGCCAACTCCTGATAGCCGCAAGAAGGTACAGCAATTTCTCGGTTTTGCTAACTTTTACAGGCGGTTTATCAGAGGCTTCAGCGCGACAGCAGCCCCGCTCCATGCTCTTACCTCCCCGCAGGTGGCGTTTCACTGGTCCGCCGAGGCAGACGCGGCCTTCCAGGAGCTTAAGCGGCGCTTCACTACAGCACCCATCCTCACGCTCCCTGATCCGGCTCGCCAGTTTGTGGTGGAGGTGGACGCCTCCAATAATGGGATCGGGGCCATTCTCTCCCAGCGAGCAGAGTCTGACAACAAGCTTCATCCGTGTGCCTTCCTGTCGCGACGACTAACTGCAGCGGAGCGGAACTACGACGTGGGAGATCGTGAGCTGCTGGCAGTGAAGGCGGCGCTGGAGGAGTGGCGGCACTGGCTCGAGGGGGCACAGCACCCTTTTTTGGTTTGGACAGACCACAAGAACCTGCAGTACATCAAGAAGGCCAAGCGTTTGAATTCCCGTCAAGCCCGCTGGTCCTTGTTTTTTAACCGTTTTGATTTTTCCCTTTCCTACAGACCGGGATCAAGAAATACCAAGCCTGACGCCTTATCCCGTCTTTTCAGCCCGGAGCCCGTGGCCAGGGAACCTGAGCCCATCCTCCCACTACACTGTGTGGTTGGAGCGGTTACCTGGCCTATAGAGACCAAGGTGAAGCAGGCCAACGGTGAGACCCCCCCACCTCGTGGGTGCCCAGATAATCGTCTGTTTGTCCCTGTTAATCTGCGCCCACAGGTGATCCACTGGGCTCACTCGTCTTTGCTCACCTGCCATCCGGGCGTACGTCGGACCATGTTCGCCATCACGCAGAGGTTCTGGTGGCCGTCCATGGAGCCGGAGGTCAGGGAGTACGTTGAGGCATGCTCCGTCTGCGCCAGGAACAAGAACTCCTCCAGAGCCCGCGCAGGCTTGCTACAGCCGCTGCCCATCCCGTCCCGGCCGTGGGCAGAGATCTCGATGGATTTTGTCACGGGGCTACCGACCTCCAAGGGGAACACCACGGTGTTGACCGTGGTGGATAGATTTTCAAAGATGGCACACTTCCTAGCCCTACCCAAGCTGCCCACCGCTAAAGAGACCGCTATCTGCATGATGAACAACGTGTTTAGGATCCACGGGTTCCCCAGAGACATTGTGTCCGATAGGGGGCCCCAGTTTGTCTCGCGGTTCTGGCAGGAGTTCTGTAAGCTCATCGGAGCCACAGCTAGCCTCACATCGGGGTACCATCCCGAGGCCAACGGACAGACGGAGCGCCTCAATCAACAACTGGAAACCAGCCTCCGGTGCCTGGTGGCCCAGAGCCCTGCGTCATGGAGCGAACACCTGACGTGGGTAGAGTACGCCCATAACTCCCTTCCCACCTCCGCCACTGGCATGTCTCCCTTCCATTGCGTTTTTGGTTACCAACCCCCTGTGTTTTCCGAGTCCGAACCAGAGGTGTCTGTGCCCTCCGCCCAGGCCTTGGTCCGCCGCTGCCGCCGCATCTGGGCAGCGGCACGCCAGACGCTGATCAGACAAGGGGACAGAGTGAAGAAAGCAGCGGACCGCAGGAGGAGACCGGCCCCAGTGTACCAGCCCGGCCAGCGAGTATGGCTCTCAGCCAAGGACCTACCCTTGCAGGTCGAATCACGAAAGCTGGCCCCTCGCTTTGTCGGCCCGTTCCCCATCTCGAGGATTATCAATCCAGCAGCTGTGCGCCTCCGTCTGCCCCGGTCCCTGAGGGTACACCCAACCTTTCATGTCAGCAAAATCAAACCAGCGAAGGAGAGCGCAATGGTGCCAAACCCCAAGCCACCCCCACCCCCTCGAATGGTCGAGGGGGGGCCGGTCTACACGGTGAGGAAACTGCTGGCGGTACGTAAGCGGGGACGGGGCAGGCAGTTCCTCGTGGACTGGGAGGGCTACGGCCCAGAGGAACGACAATGGGTCTCGTCTAGCTTCATAGTGGACCCGGATCTCATTCGAGATTTTTATAGAGCACACCCGGACATTCCAAGGCCGCCTGGTATTCGGCCTTGAGGGGGGGGTAATGTCACACCTGTATGTCAAGTTGCGTTTTTGTCCTGTCTCCAGTTGTTTTTTGACTTCCTGTTTTATTTTGGAAACTAACTCCCTCTCGTTTCAGGTCCCTTGCCCTTCCTCATGTGTCACCAGTCTGATTGTCTCCCCTGATTCCTGATTGTGTCCACCTGTTCCCACAACTCCCTCATGGGTACTTATAGTCTGCGTCGCCCCTTGTCCTGTGCCAGTGTGTCTTGTTGTTTTGCCCTGCACACCAGCCCTCATGTCACGAGTCAAGTCAAGTCCGATAACGTTTGTCACGTCCTTTTGATCCCTGTTACGTTTCCTCGTTTAAGAGAGATTTTGAGTTTTTGCCTTTTGAATTTTGATCTCAACCTTTTTCCTCATTAAGAGAGATTTTGAGTTTTTTCCTTTTGAACTTTGATCGCAACCTTTTTTCCTCATTAAGAGAGATTTTGAGTTTTTTCCTTGTTATTAATAAAAGCAATATCAGCTGAACCCTCTGCGTCCGAGTCCTCCTCCTCCCTGCCTGACACCATCGTAAACACGCTGCTCATTCAAGAACGTTTGACTATAAGTGTTTAAACCGCGAAGAGCAAACTGACCACAGAATTGAGCTCAAACAGAAACAGCTAAAGAAGCTCGAATAAAAATGTTAAACTATATGAAGACTGAACCTCAGTTTGCTTAAAATGTTCTGATGATGCTCGTTAGACTCAGCGCACGTGCCGACTCGTTTCCCTTTAAGCAGATTAAAGCAGCATTTAGGGGGCGGGATCAATCAATGGAACATATTGATTGTCCTAATTCATAGTGATGGGTTGTGAGGTAACAGAACAAAAGGGACTTTGAAGTCAGAATCATGGCAAACTGTGTCACAACTACTACGATAATATACAAACAGAATTATTCAGTCCAGTGGTCAAATAAATATTCTTTACACATCAGCGTTGTTTAAGGTGTTCTTCCTGTTTTTGGTTGCTCACACTGTGTTACTTTGGGGGGGAAAAATGTTCAAACAACTTTCATATCCATATTTGACCTTTGTTCTTTGTTTTTATCCTCGAGACGTGTCTGTGATTGGTCAACATGCTGCAAACCCCGCCCTCTTTACGGCATCCCGCGCATCTAAAAACATGCGGTGACAGATCTCGCTTTCTATTTCTGAAAACGAGAGGTTGTTTTATTGTAAATGTCAAGTGTCCGTACGGCTGCTGGGGCCTTTTTCTCATCCACCTCTAACTTTGTAAATTCAATCTAAAGACCTTTGTGGTGAAAAGCTACCAGCAGCCATCGAGCCGCCATTCTAGTGCCCCCGGATTCAGGACTTTTCCCTCAGAGCGCCACCTGCCATCAGCCGTTACATGACACCAGCAGGAGGGATTCTGCAAACTTTCTGCAAAAGCTGATGTGTCTGCATGTTACAAACACAGTATTGTAGTCACAGAGGTGCATGAAAGCATCCACCACCACCAGCACCACCACCACCACCTGGCAGGTGGGCGCACGTGTGGAGGCCCGACCGATGCGGCCTTACTTTCTGGTTGTGTTCTTTTTTTATTGTATTAACAAGATCTCAGAGTCAATAAGCCATTGCTTTGTTTCCACGTTGGTTGCGTTTAAAGCTTTCACTCGGCCAAAGTTTGAAAACATGCCGGAGGTAAAAAAAATCACTCAAATCAAAAACCCAGAAATTGGTGTCTGTTTTTTCTCTGAAAAACTGTAACATTTTGACATTTGAATCACAGACTACTTCTGTATTCCTTTCTAAGTAATAACAAAATATTACGGGATTTAATACCCCAAAGAAAGCAGAAGACAAATAACGGACGATAGTGGAGATTCCTCCATCTAAGCACTTTCACTTCTCCATCTGTGCAGGATTGTTGCTTTTTTTAAAAGATTCTACTTCCTTTGGGTTCATTTCCCACACATTTTGTTCCTTTTCAAAAATGTATGTAAGAACTTTATGAAGAAAAAAAGAAAAACATTGGATTGAAAAAAAAAACAACCCACCGGCTCTTCAGTAGAAAATAGAATGTTTTTCCACCTTGAGTGAAGTAGTCACGCATCGGTCTGTCTGCTGGAGCTGATGCTGCCTCCGGGTTTCTAACACATGTCACAATTTCCCTTACGCAGTCTGCTATTCCTACCGCAGCTGTGTTTGCATCTGTCCTAAATGTAGGATTCAGTTCCCGAAATGACAACTTCTCCTTTTGATCGCCTCTCGTGGATAAATGAGGACAAAAAAAGGGATGATTACCAGGCTGCGATCTCCTGCCTGTCGGAGGGTTTCAGGTGGACCGCTGCCTCCTCGCTTGCTACAATTATGGGTCAAGTTCCTCAAACCACAGAAGATTACTGGGTGAGTGGATGTTTTTAGGATCTTTCGGTCGTTGGGGAGGTTCGACGTGTGAACTGAGTTTGCAACAGATTACTACAAAGCCGCAGATGAAGTGGTGCGGCATCTTGCACAAATATTCATCTTCAAAGTTCCATATCGCCAAAATACTGCAGCGCGTTTTACTTTGACATTTGTGGAATTTGCTTATGATCTCGTTGTGTCAAAAGAAGTAAATTCCAAGAAAACGGCCATGTGATGTGTTTCCGAATTGCACCCTTCGGGGAATGTTGCAACCTGACTTTTATAAGTCTTCTCCACCAGGAATATGACTATGACATCTACGATAACGCCACCTGGCCCACTGCCACCGGCCGGTCGCGGGCCGCCCCGTGCGAGCCGGAGGACAGCTACGGGTTCGCGCAGAGGTTCTCGCCCGTCGTGTACACCCTGGTGTTCCTCCTGGCCTTCGTGGGCAACGTGCTGGTGCTGTGCGTCATCCGACGCTACCGAAACTCCCAGAGCGGCGGCGCGTGCGCCTTCTCCCTGACGGACACCTTCCTCCTTCACCTGGCCATCTCGGACCTGCTGCTGGCCTTCACCCTGCCCCTGTTCGCGACGCAGTGGGCGCACCAGTGGGTGTTCGGCCTGGCCGCCTGCAAGCTCTCCGGCGCCCTCTTCTCCCTGAACCGCTACAGCGGCATCCTGTTCCTGGCCTGCATCAGCTTCGACCGCTACCTGGCCATCGTGCACGCCGTCACTTCCGGCTGAAAGCGCAACGCCTGGCACGCGCAGGTCGCGTGCGCCCTCATCTGGGCGTGCTGCCTGGCCCTGAGCGGCGCGGACGTCGCCTTCAAGCAGGTGGAGGAGGTGAAAACGGGGGCCAATCGGACGGCGCTCCTGTGCGTGGTGTGGTACACGGAGCACCCCACCCGGTGGCGGGTGGGGCTGCAGCTGGTGGGCATGCTGCTGGGTTTCGGGCTCCCCTTGTTGGTGATGCTCTACTGCTACATCCGCATCTTCAAGTCGCTCTGCAACGCCACCCGCCGGCAGAAGCGCAAGTCCCTCCGCCTCATCGTGTCCCTGGTGTCCGTGTTCGTGGTCTGCTGGGCGCCGTACAACGGCTTCCAGCTGGCGGACAGCCTGCACAGGCTGGGCGCGGTGACCGGAGGCTGCCGGTTCGGCCACGTGATGGACGTCGGCACCGTGGTCGCCGAGGGCTTGGGGCTGTCGCACTGCGCGCTGAACCCTCTGCTCTACGGCTTCGTGGGGGTGAAGTTCCGCAGGGAGCTGGGCAGGATGTGCGGGGGGCTGCTGGGGGGCAGGGGGGCGCGGGGGATGGAGGGGTGGAAGCAGAGGAGGCTCAGGAAGAGCACCGCGTCCTTCAGCTCGGCGGAAAGCGAGCACACCTCGTACTCCGTCATGGTGTGAGACGAGGGGATTGAATAAATAATCAATTCTGCATAATTGTGGCTTTAAAACGTCCTCAGCGGGGAAAGTGAAGGATTTCTTCCGCTGGTGCTTTGATTTCTGTTTGTGTGGTCTGCTGTTTTAGTTTGGAGCACAACGACCTTCTGACCCATTTCTGCACCCAGAAGAGCCTGTTCGGCAGTTTGGATGCAGAGGCCTCACCTGTCGCCTGCTCACACACTCACGTTCTGATCACAGTCATCTTGGACTGCGGAATGTGGCACCGTGTAAAAACAGCTGACGTTTCAATTTCTTCTTTTTCAATTCACGATTCAATTCAGCCGGTCTCCCAGAGGCAGGTATGGCTCGGTTTGAAAAGTTGTATATTATATTAAAACCCATGATGTTTGTGATGTGCAAATATTTTTGGAATAAATATTTTGGAATAAATAGTGTAATGTTCATATGTGAATCCACACCGCAGGTTCTCTTTCCGTGTGTTTACATGAACAACTTGAATCAACAGGTTCATTCCAGTGTGGGGGGGGGGGGGTCAACAGCTCCACCTGGTGGGCAGCAGCTGCTTGTGTTGTGCGATTCATCGTTGCGTGATTCATTGTTGTGTCCAGCACAGCACGGCGGACGGGCGGATATCTGGCCTTCAGAATAAAGCGCATTGACCCCCCGATAATGACACAGGTAGCAGGCACCGCGCCATGTCTTATCAACTAATGTGGCGATAGAAATAAACTCAAAGGCGGCGCCCACTTTTCCACCTGTTATTCGGATTTTATCAGGTAAGGCTGCACGGGTTTTCCAATGTACGTTTTATTTTGAAAAACAAATCGAGCGCTTCGGTTTCCTGTCAAGAGTTCACGCTGTGCGAGACTGGGAGGCGTTGGGTCTCTAACCGAAACCATCCAGTCAGGACGCCGTCGAAGAGCACGTAAGTTTCCAGCGGCGGGTTCGTGACTCGGTTTGCGGTCCTGCGCGCGCTTCCGCGTCGCGAAGCAGGCCGTCCGCGCCGGTTCCTCGTTCCGCGCACGGGCGCTTTCTGCGCCGCGGACCCACGCAGCGCGTGTGATTCGCGCGCTCATCTCGAGTTTCGTGCCAACACAGAAACATCTGGCTCGTGTTCCTGTTGGATCCGAATGGGTTGTTTTTTTTTGAGACGCGCGCCGTAACTTCTGACCAACCGCGGACCCCTGTGGAGAGTTTGTCCTACTTCAGTATCATCCATGAACTTCGCGACGCGCGCTTTATCCTTAATGTGCACGACATTCCGCTCGTAATAAGCGGCTATGAGTTACACGTGCACGAGAGACGTGGTGCGTAACGTCAGCTGAAGAGGAGATGAGCTCATACCAGAAGCTCTGGTTTCTACAGCATTGAGTGACATACGCCTCTCTGCCGTATGTGCGTGCCATGGCTGTGTAGGTTGTGTGTGTGCGTGCGTGTGTGTGTGTGTGTGCGTGCGTGTGTGTGTGTGTGTGTGTGTGTGTGTGATAGGGCTGTCAAAGCTGCTCAAAAAGGGCGTCCGAATATTCGCTTTTAAAAAAGACATTGAAATATATTCGGTTGCGCATTAGACGCATCAATGTGACCATTAATGCAACGAGACATAACTACTTGTATGGGTAATTTATTCAAGTTTAAACCTATTTAACAACATATTACCTGCACGAAAATAAATAAATAAACTAATGGCCACGCCCGCAGATCTCTCTTTCTCTCACTCTCTCTCTCTCTCTCTCTCTCTCTCTCTCTGGGCAAAGCTGTTTAAATGAACGACAACACTAAACAAATTGCAGAGTGCTGATCAAGAGCACTCTGCATTTCTAATCTTATTGTGCCAAATACGTCATGCGTCATTCGGTGATTGAAACCGAAAGTTCTACAGTGCCGACATTGAGCGCTCGGAGCGATCGGTGCTGTAAACACGCAACTTTCCATCGGCATGAAACGGCCAATAGTCAAAGCGGTGCATGAAGCTGCTGCAGCCGATCTGGTCTGTTTTATTCGTGCGATATACAGTCGGCAGTCAGGCGCGCGCCCGCTGAGCAGACAGTCGCGCCGCCGTTTTTTTAATTTTTTTTTACATTCGAATAGTTGTTTTCAACTACTATTCGAATATATACTCGAATACAGAATATTGGTTGACAGCCCTAGTGTGTGAGTGCGTGCGCGTGACCGGGCGGAACTGGGCTTTCCGAACAAACTCCACTGTTGCATCATAGTTAATTCCCGTCACATGACCCTCAGCTACAGGGGATCTTCTCAGGACTACATAAGCTCCTCTTCTGGGGCTCGGCAGCATTGAAGTTGTCTCTCTTGTCGCCTCCACAGCAGATGAGCATGGAGGTGGACTTCGATGGATTATTCAACCCGAACTACACCTTTGACGAGGATGAGGACTACCAGTACAAAGAGGACCCCGAGCCGGGAGCCGGCGGAGCAGCGTACGCCCCGGCTCTGTACTCCCTGCTGCTGGTCCTCGGGCTTCTTGGGAACGGACTGCTGCTCGCCCTCCTGGCCAAGGGAAGGCGACCCTGGAGCACGTCGGACGCCTTCGTCTTCCACCTGAGCGTTGCGGACGTCCTGCTGCTGGCGACGCTGCCCCTGTGGGCGGCGCAGGCGGCTCTGCGGGGCGGGTGGGGCTTCGAGGGTTTACTCTGTAAGATCAGTGGCGCCGCTTTTAATGTAAGTACCGGGCGGGGGGGGGAGTGTGGCAAGCGGGAACGTCGCTCGTCGGGGAAGCTGTGTGAACGTCGTGTTTGGCTGGAGGCCATTGTTGCGCACTCAAGCTTTCATTGAGCGAGTTCACTCTCCAGTCACGTCCACGGGTTTTCTCCCATTTCAGCATTTCTAGGAAATGAAAAGAGAGAGCAGAAGAGGAGGAAAGGAACGCCGGGGCCGATCACAGCTCACGTTTTCCCCGTCTTCTTTTGCAGGTGAACTTCTACTTCGGAATCTTTCTGCTGGCTTGCATCGGTCTGGATCTCTACCTCTCCATCGTCCGGGGAACCCGGCTTTTCGCCCGGGAAAGGCCGAGGTTGGGTCACATCAGCTGCCTGTCCATCTGGCTCGCCTCGCTGTTGCTCACCGTCCCCGGCTGGGCCTTCCCGGCGGCGAAGAAAGACCCGGCCCGAGCCACGGGCCTCTGCGCTCGCGGCCACTCGTGGCCACTCACTGACTGGCAGCTGGCGTCACGCGTCCTCCACCACGCGCTGGGCTTCCTGCTGCCCGCGGCCGCCCTGTTCTTCTGCTGCTCGCGCGTCCTGCTGCGGCGGCGCGTCGCCAGCGGCCTCCAGGAGCGGCGGCCCGTCGCCGTCTTCCTGGCGCCGGTAGCGGCCTTCTGTCTCTGCTGGGTGCCGTACAACGTCGCGCTGGTCGCGGACACCGCCAGGGGCCGCGCGGCGGAGCCCGCTGAGCGCGACGGCTCGCTGAAAACAGCGCTGACGGTCACCTCCGCCTTGGGCTGCGTGCACGCCTGCCTCAGGCCTCTGCTCTATTTCGGCCTGTGCAGGAACGCCAGGAAGCGGACTCTGGCCATGCTGAGATGCGCTGAAGAGGAGTGCGAGGGCTCGCTGTGGGAGCTGGGCGTGGGCGAGGGCGAGGGGGCCTCGCGTGACGGGAACCCCGAAGGGGAAGCGCTGCAACCGATGACAAGTAGAGAGCAACAGGTGCAGGCAACTCCGTGCTGATGGATGGGCGAAAGTTCCCTCCGGTGACTTGAGGAGCAGCTCGGCGCCTCAGGGCGACGCGGCGTGGCGCCGTGTCGGGGGTTCACGGGATGGACGACCTCACGATGACATCAGGATGAGGAATTTGAAAAATGACTCGATGCTGCACTTTGACCCACGAGTGTATTTTTTATTTTGCAATCCCTGTTGCACAATTTTAGCTTGTTAACCTACATTATGAATTTCTTTGTATTATTATTATTATTGTACATTTTTATAGACGTTAGAGAAATGTGTCAGTGAACAGTTGTTAAGCTTTAAACCGCCAAAAGGTCTGGAATCAAATGGAATATTGTGATGGAGAAGCTTTTGTAAAACCACAATATGATCATTATTCCGTGAGTGTTCTTGCGATCCTCCATTAAGCAGTTTATTAACACACAACGTTGTTATCTTCAGGCAGTAGAGAGAGAGTGTGTGTGTGTGTGTGTGTGTGTGTGTGTGTGTGTGTGTGTGTGTGTGTGTGTGTCACTACAGTGCGGTCAGGGATTTTCCCATCAGCGAATCCCACCGTTTCATTTCTTCCTCCCTCCTTCGTTGTGTCGGCGGACGGCCGGCCGGTGGTGACACAAGGTGGTGACGTCGTCCACCATGTGATGGAGGAGGGGAAGACAGACAGTGGTGGATGGAAAAAGGACGTAGGTGGCGGATGCAGGAAGGAGGCAGAAGTCAGAAAAGATCAGATCTGATCTTAAAGGTCAGCGGTGCGACGTGTGTGTGGTTTCTCCAAAGCCAGATCAGGTTAAAGCAAACAGATGTGACCTGAAATAAAGGGATCTTTCACAACCAAATGTGCTTTCAGAACCTCAGCGTTAAATACGTTTATAGGAGATAATAAAACAACTTCCTCTTTCGGCAAGTGAGAAAGTCTTTTATCGGCGAGCTGTCTGATTACCGAGTATCGCCTCAGATTGAAGAGTCATTTCCTGTGCAGCTCCTCGTGAACTTATCATGACTTTCCTTGACTGCGTAACAAACCTGTTTGCAGCACAAACACACTTTGTTGTGCCGTCCACGAGAACGTTGAGTCGGCCTGGAATTGAAGGCGTTGTTTTGTTTTAGGGCAAAAGTTTACATTACATTACAGGTCATTTAGCAGACGCCTTTATCCAAAGCGACTTACATTACACTTTCAACCCATGGCTTTTTCACATTTTTGCCCGGGGAGCAATTAGGGGTTTGGTGTCTTGCTCAGGGACACTTTGACATGGAACATGGGGCAGCCTGGAATCGAACGAACAACCTCGTGCTTCCCAGCACACCTTCTCTAACCCCTGCGGAGCTGGGGTCTCCTCTTCGAAGAGGAGCTGGGGAACGAGAACAGGAGCAAAGCGCTGAGCGCTCGATGTGCCGAGAGACCGGGAAGAGTTCATGAAGGCGAAGCCCCGTCATTCAAGAGATACTCTCTGTTTGACTTTGGGAGCTGCGGCTGTGACACGTCGGCGGCTCCTGTGGACGATGAACTATGCTGCTCTGCTCGTCACTTGACTTTTGCTGCGCCGGAAACATCCACTTGAGGATGAGTGGCTTTGGTTTCCTGCCAAAGAGATGCAAGACATTTCCACTGAAGCCCCTGAATGTACTTTCTGTAAAAACCTGATCATAATATCACAGAAAATAGTACAAAATAGTATTAAAGTATTATTCATTCGTTTACATATAGTATCTGTATCTGTACGTAGGGATCCTGTCGGGTCTGTTGTACAGTAATGTGTGAAACATGCTGGTTCATCATTAAACAAATGTTTTATTTTGTATTTGAACAAAACATTCACAAAAGCACAACAAGCGGGAACCTTTTATTGTGGCATAAAATCTATTTCAAAGCGGTATACAGCTTTAGCAACATTACTGACCAACGAACATGTTGCAATGAAGCCCTTTGGTCCCAAAAGGGAAATAACTACTTCCTTTACAAGAAAAATAGATTTGCTGAGAACAGACGGACCCAATTATTTTAGCCGTGTAACAGACACGGAAAGAAAGGCGAGCATGTGCACGGGCTCATACCGGAAACATTTAGAACTCTTCTCTATGGGAGCTTCCGTCCCGTCGTGTCCGCGTGGTCCGTTCCGTTCGAGTGGTCGTCAACGCGCCCGCGTCCCTTTTCTAGATGGCGAGGGAGTTGGACGTGTCGCCAGACTCGGACCAAATGGAGCTTCTCCTGCTGGTCACAGACTGCGGGTGGGCTCTCGTCTTCAGCTCGCAGCCCAGGGACCTCAGGATGCCGAGGAGCTGGCGTCGGAACTTGACGCCCACGAAGGCGTAGAGGACGGGGTTGAGGCTGCAGTGGAGGTAACCCACGGAGGAGGTGATCATCTTGGCTGTCCCGAGAGACGTCCTGGTTCCGCAGGTGTCGTTGTGGTCGGCGGAATGAAGCGTGTCCACCATGAGCGTGATGTTGTACGGCGTCCAGCAGAGGAAGAAAACCACCACCACCGTCACGATGACCCTGAAGGCTTTCTGCTTCTGGGGGGCCCGGGAGCCGCAGCGCAGCTGGCGCAGGATGCAGGAGTAGCAGAAGATCAGGACGACCGAAGGCAGCAGGAAGCCCGCCGTGTGGAAGAGCAGGCGGGACGCCAGTCGCCAGTCCCCTACTTTCCCAGAGGCGTTCATCAGGTAGTTGCGCACACACTGGGTTTTTTGGCCTCGCCCGGAATCCTCCACGGCTTCCAAGAAGATCCAGTCAGGGATGGAGAGGAGCAGAGAGAAGAGCCACACGGCCAAGCAGCTGACCTGAACGACCCGGGGCTTCCGGCGCGAGTACATCTGGGTGGCGTGGACGATGGACAGGTAGCGGTCCAGGCTGATGCAGGCCAGCAGAAAGATCCCACAGTAGAAGTTGATCTGAGGGTACAAAGCAGGCGAAACGCGGTTTAGCATCACGCACTCACGGCGCGTTGTTCGCGGCTGCACGGCGCTCACCGTAAAAACCGCTCCGGTGATCTTACAGAGCGGCGAGCCGAACGTCCACCCGTCGGCCTGTGCGGACTGAGCGGCCCAGACGGGCAGAGTCGCCAGCAGCAGAACGTCGGACACCCCCAGGTGGACGATGAAGGTGTCCGTCACGCTCCAGGACCTCCTGCTCTGGACCAGGACGCCCAGCAGCACGCCGTTGCCCAGGATGCCGACGACGAACGCCACGGAGTACAGCGCGGGGATGAACACCGCCTCAAAAGGCCCCGCCTCGTTCGTGTCACACAGGTCGCTTTCCTCATGAGAGACATTGGCGAAAATGTCGTCGTAGCCGTCTAGGAGGGCAGCGAGGTCGTCTCCTTGGATTAACACGGCAGAGTCCATCAGTGAACTCTGCACAGAAACAAGGACAAATGTATGTGTGAATCTGGTTGGTGCTCATCTGTAACACACGGTGGCGCCGTTCACAAACATCGCCCATCTGTGTCATTCAGGAGGAGGATGGTTTAGCGCACACACACACCAAAGAATTAGAGCAAACCACAGAAGTTACCATACGCGCTGGTTTTTATTCTGTCCATCAGACATAATCCATTTAGCAACATGTCAAATTATTTTTGTACATTTAGGCCGTATTGAAATATCTGACAGTGTTCTACACCAGTTGGAGGTTTGATCGCGACCTTTTGAGCCGCATTAGAGGAAATACTTACACAACACGTTTAGGGCTTCAGAAGATAAGATTGATAAGATAAAATCAGGTTGGGCTGATAACCAAACCTCATGCTCTTATTTCCATGTTAATCCGGAAGAAATTATGAGCACTTTAGTCATATAACTCGGGTAGAATTGGGAAAGAGAGAGAAGTTTTCTGCAAGAATCTTGAAGCACCAAACTGTTTTGGAGTTTTTATGTTTTGTTGGACAAATTGGTTTTAAAGGATTAACAAAAGCACATTTAAGAAAAGAATGGATGGACATGAGCATGAGACAAAAATAATTAAATAAGCATAACAATGTCAATGAAAACTGCAACAGAAATAAAGTTAAAGGAAGGATGTTAAAGGAAAAAAATGGAGAGTTGAGTAAAGAAAGAAATGACATCACGACTTTGTAGCTTCAACTTGTTGCATGAATTATCAACAATGCTGCTAATGTCACATTGTCCATTTGAGAGGAGCTCAAATAAAACCATTCATATCATGTCGAACGGTAATTATTTAATTGGCCAAAAACACAAAAGCAGTAGAAACGCATTGATCAAACGTTGAGTAGTAATATGTAATCTGTTCCTAGTAACAAACCATACATGCATTAATTACCTAACAAGCTTTCTGACTCACCGAACTGTCGTCTCTTGACGTGCTGTCTTCAGTGAGCAGGACGCAGCATGAATGATCAGTGTCGTCGGAAACAGCACAAGACAAAGCCGATATTTAAAGAGGAAGGTGCACCTGCCTGTGGCATACGACGTGAACACGCAAAGAGTCGGGGGGAAGAAAAACGCCAAAACTAAATATTCAACGGGTCTTTCATTTCAAGCCCACTATAGTATTTATGATGTTCTCTTAAAAAAATTTAGAATGACAATGCAGAACAAGGAAGGTTTGATCATTGTCTTTGTATCCTGTGAAGTGGAGAATTTTGCACATGCACAAGGACACAGATGTTTCCACACTCGTCTTCTGACAAGAAGCTCCCAAACTATTAATCATTTAGAACTGGGGACGTCCTGCCTATCATGCATAGACATTAGGGGTGTAACGATTCATCCACTGAATCGATTAATATTCCTGCGATCCAACTGAATCGATCTGTGCTCCGCAAATCGGCATTCCGGACGACATATATTGACTACAAATCGATTGAAATGGTACATAATCGATTGTATCGATAATTGGAAACTGCACATTGGATTTAAGTACAAAAACGGTGTGGATGCGTGTTTTAAAATTTTTTTTTTTAGCACTTTAGACACGTTAAACGTTACTGGATTCAGTCTGCCTGTCTGTGACGTCATGAGTACGAGCGGCAGCCGCGAGAAACTCGGAACAACAACAACAACAACAGACAGCGTGGAGGAGACGACTGCGTTACATTGAAAATGGTTGCACAATAAAAGGTTAATGTATTTGCTATTAATTGTTGTATTCTTGTTCATAATATCCATGATTAATTTAAACCTGATTTCCTTACAAGACTTTACTGTCCAGTAAAGTTACTGAATCGATTTCAAGTCACCGAATCAAATCGAACTGAACTAAATGAACCCAGATCGTCCATGAATCGAATCGGCAACCATGAATCGCGAGTCGAATCAAATCGTAATTAAATAATAAAAATGGATTAAAAGGTAAAAAAATCAATTAAAAAAAATGGCAAAAGGTGGAACGGCAGAGATGAATAAGTCGTGCACAAAGTTTCAACAAAAGTAAATACAATTTATTAACAACTTATTCATCACAAAAAGGACAACTAAAGGGAGCAAAGACATCAGGGTCTCAAAGGCCAAAAACAATAAACGGAACCATCCTCCTGACTAGAAAACAAAGGTGTTCTGACCTGCGGTGGGAAAAGGAAAGACAATGCTGACCTCCCTCCCTCCCTCTCTATCCACAAAACAGGAGGAGAAGCAGTAACAGAAATGGCAGAGAACCGTAACAGAACGGCTGGATTTAAAGTAAACTTATTTGCACATTTTTTATCAGGAAAGAACCATCCGTTTGTTGCACTGAGACCTATAATACTATTTATATCACACATAGTTTATCAGTCGATCTCAACATGAATCATTTTCACAACTTCAAGAATTTTATCTCAACTTTTTTTTTTCTTTATTAAAGTGTCTGTTTTCCCTCCGCAGAATCGCTTTTTCCTGTTTGTTTCACACCTTCTTTCACACCTTCTCTCACACCTTGGCTTTCTTTGCAGTTTTTGCAGTGAGGGGATGACTTTGGGTCTTTGCAGATCTAAAGGCAAATATTACTGAAAGATAATTGTGAATCGTGAACATTTCGAATGGATGCAGCGCGGTTTGGTTGAACTGTGAAATGCAACGTTTCACAGTTCAACAGGGAGGCCAGCAGTGTGCTACGGTGGAGGATGATGACTGAGCTATTATCAACGCTGAGGCCCCCCCACGGTGGACGCCCTTGAAGCGCCGTACAGCCCCTTCAGTCAGCGGCTGGTTCACCCTCCCAGCGTGTGAATAAGAGGCACCGCAGGTCCTTCCTTCCTGCTGCCGTCGGGCTGTACAACCAACTGTGCACCCAGTGAACCACAGAACATTGTACTAAAATAAACGTGCAATAAAAATAACTATGTGCAACAACCACTGCGGCACACTGTGTGTACATGCACATATTACCTCACGTTACAGGTCATTTAGCTGACGCTTTTATCCAAAACAATTTGCATTGCATTTTTAACCCATGGCTTTTTACATTTTTGCGCAGGGAGCCATTAGGAGTCGGGTGTCTTGCTCAGAGACACTTCAACATGAGTCACGGAGCAGCCGGGGCTCAAACCACCAACCCAGCAGTTCCCAGCGCACCCTTCGTAGCACTGCGCCACATCAACCCACACATGTCAGTGTCTTATCTTACGGTGATTGGGCTATCTTTGATGATCTCGGTATGAAAATATGGGTTTCTGAGTACAAGAAATACAATTATGTGCAAGAACAAGTATGTCGGTATCACAGGCCTTGATCAATATTGATCTGATCTGTTGCTGAACTGCGTGCAGAGCGTGAGGTTTCAAGGACTTAAGCCTTCCAGACCCCCTGGTTTGTCGTTTTCTACAAGCAATTTCATAATTTTATTTGCCAGAAACTCAAAACGCTCCGTCTCGTTGTCATCACCTTGCAGAAAGCTTCTCCAATTAGGTGGTACTTTTGTTTTGTCCGTCAGTCTGCGTGCACCTCCTCCGCCTCGTTTTCACCTGCTTTCACCCTTCAGACGTCAAACACAATGTCTGTCCTGGTATACATGTCTGATGAGCCTGCAGCTTTGGAACAACAACTTCTTCATATCTCAGGGGACGATGCGGGACAATGAATAAAGAAGAGAAGACTCATCGATTATGACGGCTTAAGGCAGACTTTCTAATTATAATTCTGAATTCTGAACTCTGAATGCAAGACAGGTCTTCCTCACTGACATAATAACTCAAAATAATAACAACACACGAGTGTCAGCAGCTGCTGAGCTCCAATCCGCCGGGGCTTCACCAGCAGTCGGTGCTTCCACACATAACGTAAGATCTGTGTGGACATCTGTATCTCCAACACATCCCTCCTCTCAGGTGTCTTCCCACAAGAACCTACTGCTGTTATTAAAGAAGGATAACCTGGACCAGAGTGTGCAAACGTTTTGTTTGTTTGGTTGGTAGGACAATTCATGTCACCTTACAAAGGGCTGATATTGTTCTGCACATTTATAAATATCTGACACACACGTGTAACATTTATGCAATGGCATTCAAGGTGAATTCAAGACCATTAAGAAAATGCCTTCAGACATCAGAGAGTCAATAAACAAATTGTTGCTTTATGTTGATCATCAAAAACATTTTAATTCGCATCAAAAAAGGTCACTTGGACTAATACTTTGTCCATGAGAAACAAAGAGTTATGAGTAACAAATGTCGTCTTCTACATCACATGTCATTTATCTGACGCTTTTATCCAAAGCGACTTACAATAAGTACATTTCAACCATAAGGACACAAACCCTGCAGAAGAACAAGAAACAAGAGAGTGCAATTTCATCAAATAATAATATGAATATGAATGAAAAATCTTTATTCACATTTTCGGCAACTTGAAAACCGGCGACATCAATGGTGCCAAATTCTGTGCTTTTATCAACAAATTGATTCTCATGGAATTTTGACCTAATCTGCTGGACTAAAAACCGAATGTGACATTACAGATTTCCGATGTTAGGAAAGTGAAGACTTAAAGAGATAAATAAGATGTGTAAGTTTCGTTCCTTGTGGAGTGTTTCATGTTGAGATCCACAGAAGATACAAACCGAGAGTTCTGAGAAGCTTCACTTCACAAACACGACACCTGCTCAAATGCAAAGAAAGGTTTCACTTCACAAACACGACAAAGAAAGGTTTGACAGAAAAAACACTTCTTTCACGTGTTTAAATGACATTGCTTTTGTGTATATAAGCTTTTGCGATTGTGACACTAAGGAGACACTAAAGAGTAAAATAATTATTTTTACAAACAGCGGTTATGAGCATTTCGCCTAAATTTTAATTTTCTTTAGCAGCAACTGTGAAACCATGGAGGTATTTCTGTGGAGGAACTGAAAGAACCAAATACATTCCCAGATGGCAGTTTCTATAATCCCGTACTAAATTCAGATTGGACGCACGGCTCAGAAGCTGTTTATGGACGATGTACTAATAATTTGTGATGTCAAAACGGAAACCGCATAAAGCCAAAACACCTGTCGAGATGGGTTTGCATGAGCCTCCATTTATCAGTCTCCTTCCTTCTTCTGGTTTGACTAAAAGTGGTGTAACCACATTGTAGGTTAGTATCTCAATAACATCAGAACCAGAACACGTTGAACAAATCCATCGCCTTAATTTGGCAAAAGGTTCCGTTATAATCCTGCATTCTTTCTTTGCCTTTGGAGGCAGTAACTTGTATTTTTACATTGAAATATCTATAAACAGGAAATGGCACTTTTTTGCCCACAATGGCCAAATACACCAACCAACACTAAAGGGATCATTGCATGTGTTTAAAAGTCTGACTTATATCTAAAGTTTATATCTTCTACATTTTTACAAAGAAGAACTTCGATCCCGGTTTGATTTTTATTTTCCTGAAGGTTTTACAATGTTAAGACGAAAACAGATTCTTTCTGCCAATTTCCTGTTGTTTTTTTTTTAAAAGTCGACACATCTCGTGGATTTCCTGTGTGACATTTGCTGCCATGACGTTCAGAAACCACATTTTCACGCTAAGATATAGTTAAGCAGCAGATTCGGGCGTCACAATCAACACGCATGACTGAAATGTAGCTTTCGTGCATGACGTGTCGACAGTGCGCACAATTCACCACTTTGCTCTGTGGCAGGACGCTTCATAAAAGTTTATAAAAAGTGAGTTTGTAGTCAAGTGTGCTCATAAACCACAGAACTATTTCAATGTTACACATGTATAAATGTATAACGTGCACATAGACCAATGGAACAGGTGGAACACGGGGGGCTGAGTGTCGTTCGGTTAGTTTGATCCTTGTGGTAAACAATCACAACATGAACTGTTTCCAGCTCATGTTGCGATGGCGGCTGGTTGGTGATGGCGAAGCGAATCTAAAGGACAGACACAAAGAGCACCGTGCGCACAACTCTGAGGACGACGCCGTGTTTTACGGATCCCACAGAGCGGCCTCGAGGAGGGTGTTTGGAATAAAGAGCAGCAGCGTGGACGCGTCAATGAAATGATTCGTCTTTTAGAAAAGGAAGATATGAACTTGGAAAAAATGATGTATGGAAAGCAGGAAAACATGGGAAATATATTTTAACATTTTGCATTTTGTTGGTAGCGCTGCAACTGCCATAACAACACACCAGATGTGCAGAAAGGTCCAACTGTGCAGATGTGCACCGCCCCAAGAAGTGATCATATGGTCAGAACGTCACTGAGTCCCTGTTTGAAGGAAGCAGCCAGCAGTAAACTTACATTATCACAGCAGAAAAGGCAACAGTTTCTCAAAAATATAATTACATAACATAAGAAATGCAGCACGAGAAGAAGAAGTAGTGCAACTAAAATAAGTAATCATGAGTGATTCGTCACAGCGACTTTTGCGCTCAGGTGAATCCTACTGGTCGAGACAGTGACCTTTCATTGAATCTAATCAAATTCATTTAGTAAATCTCACTCAGGAATCACACATACGACCCCCCCCCCCCCGCCACGTCCCGGGACCCTCAAGTCGGGAGAGACCGCGGTGGAATAGAACGAGCGGGGACGATCCAGTCCAGCAGGGGGCAGCAACACGAGCCGCGGAGAGGAGGAGGAAGAGGAGGAGGAGGAAGAGGAGGAAGTCACCGAACCGCCGGAAAGGACCTGGTGAGGAAGATCCCACTCGACGTGGACCAGTTGGAGAGTTTTCTGCTTGCGAACTCTTGTGGCGTGAGTGCAACAGACAGCTGGAGCCCTGACGCACGGAGCCACGCGGCTGCGCGTTCCAACCGAAAGTAAAGTAAAGTAAAGGGGGGGTGGTGGTGGTTGCTGGGACCATGGCGGACAGCATGGATGAAGACGTGTCGGAGAGCGTCCCGCTGCGGTTGGACCTCACCTGTCCCGTGTGCCGGGACGTGTTCCGGGACCCCGCGCTGCTGCCCTGCACCCACAGCTTCTGCCGCGAGTGTCTGCGGCGTTGCTCTCGGGTGAGCCGGAAGTGCCCCGTGTGCCGCGAGGCGTTCGAGGAGGCGCAGGCCATCTCCAACCGCGCGCTCGGCGACGCGTGCGACACCTTCCGCGAGCAGTCGAGCAGGTGGACGCCCCACGGCGCGGACACGTGTCCGCTGCACCTGCGGCCGCTGGAGCTGTACTGCGAGAAGGACGAGGAGCCCGTGTGCAGGGGCTGCGTCACCCTGCACAGCACGCACCGGCTGTGGGCGCTGCGGGACGGGGTGCAGATGTGCCAGGTGCTCATGTCCTTCATCACGTGACCAAAAAACACCTTTTTATTCAAACTTTTGATGAATTAAATCAATGATCATCAGAGAGGTTTTTCACTAGTTCCAAGTACAGCTGAAATACTTGTTGTGCTGTAATATTTCAGGATACATTATTCTAAAGTCTTTAGTCTACTCAATGCTCAGTAAATCAAAGATGCACTAGTAATAAACATTGGCTGAATGGTTTTGCTGCCACCACAGTTGGTAAATATAAAAGCGTGTTGTGTCCTCATTGTGGAGCTGAAGACATCCCCGCTGTCCTTTCATGGCCTCGTGATGTCTTTTCACCCCGCAGAAGGAGCTGGGCTTCAAGGTCCAGATTTTCCAAAAGAAAGTGGAGTCGTACAAGAAGACGACGTACAAACTCAGCAACGCGATCGAGTACATCAAGGTAAAGCGTCTGCGGCGTCGCCGCCATGCGATTGTAACAGATGTGTTTAGGGCATGCAAGTAGTCGACTCAGGTACTGATCTTTTCAGCATTTATTTGGTCCTGCAGAAGACAATAAAACACAGACATTGCCTTCTGGTCTCCGCACATCAGCTCCCTACACACAGGGTCTACGGAGGGGAACGTGTACGTCAGGACGACCGGATGTAGCGAGTACAAATGGCGTGAAATGAAACAATGACCAAACGTATACTTTTATCACCACTCCATCGTCTAGAATAATGACGCACCACAGCTGAGAACCGTGGTCATGTTACCCACGCTAATGGTAGCTGATGTTAACAGTTATAATTAAGAACATAGCGAAATAGTGCGACGTCGTTTTTCTCTCAACTTACCTTCAACAGAGTAACACGGGACTACGGAAGCCTAGGAGGCGCAGGAGAGATGAATCGCAATTTCCGCAAATTTGACTCATCAAAATAAAATTCACACACACAAGTTCAACAAGATTGTTGAATAATAACCAAAAAATAAAATACAATACTTTGAAAATGACAGTGTATTTCTAACTCCGTTACACGATCACGCCATCTCCACCGCGTCGCCCTGTGTGAGCTCTCTCCTCTCAACGACAGTACCAAGCGGGGCAGGCGGAGCGGCAGATCAGGGCGGAGTTCGAGAGGCTGCGCGGGGAGCTGGCCGCGGAGGAAGCCCGCCGCATAAAAGCTCTGGCTGCCGAGGAGGAGGAGAAGATCGCTGCCCTGCAGGAGCTGCTCCACAGCACCAACGACGACGTCGCTGCCATCGCCAAGCTCAGCGAGGCGCTGCAGAGGGAGATGGGCAACGAGGATCTCGCTCTCCTGCGGGTGAGAGAACACTTGTCAGACGTCATTTCGCATCGGATGTTTGGGAAAGAGAACGTGGAACTAATCTCACTTACTGTCGTTCATGTTTTAGAATTTCCAGAAGCTAAAAAGAGAGTAAGTAACTGCAAAATTCACTAAAGCAAATGCACACGGACTAGGAGGTACATTTCACCATATATTATCATTTGCATCATTTGCATTTATTTGTACATACAATACATTTTGTAATATGGAGGATAATTTGTACAACACACATTTTTGTCATTCAACTCCCAAGACGATCTGCTTCATTCTGGTTTCTGCTGTAGTTTGTCTCTTGTTAACTTCACACGGTGTCGTCTCTAGAGCCGAGTGGACGCGCGAAGAGCCTCGCCTGCCGGACCACTCTCTTTTGAACATGGGCAAGCACGTTGGGGCTCTGAGCTTCAAGATTTGGAAGAGCATGCAGGACCACGTCAAATCTAGTGAGTAAACCCCACTGGGAGTGCGGAAGGATTCGTGTTGTTAAAAGAGCGGATCGTCCTTCGGCCTCTTAACATATTAGATATATATATAACAAACGTACTTGCGTCTCGTTTCCTCCCGTGTGCAGATCCGGTGGTGTTGGACCCCAACACGGCCTCTCCGTGGCTGTCCCTCAGTGCCGACCTGTCCAGTGTGATGGAGAGCGCCGAGCGGCTGGTTGTCCCCGACAACCCGGAGCGCTTCGACCCCTGCGTCTTCGTGCTGGGTGCCGAAGGTTACACCTCCGGGAAGCACAGATGGGACGTCGTGGTCGGTGACAACCCCAAGTGGGTTGTGGGAGTTTGCAAAGAGTCGGTGCCCCGCAAGAGGAAGTTCACGGTGTCCACCACCCGCGGCGTGTGGTCCATAGGACTTAGCAAAGGGGTGTACACCGTCTCAACGCCTGAGCGCACTGAGCTGCAGGTGCAGCAGCGTCCTGAAAGGATACGCGTTAAGCTTGATTTTGATAAGGGAGAGGTGTCGTTCTGGGACGGGGGAACAGCGAAGCACCTTGCCACTTTAAAATACAAATTTGATGAGAAGATGTTTCCAATTTTTGGCCCCGGGCTGTATAGCACGCCGACGACTCTGGCGCCCGCAAAAATAGCCGTTCACACCTCATGATGCGCCGATATACCGCAGAGGGGTTGTTGTTGAGGCGAGATGGAAAAAAATTTTGGGGAAGATGGGACGAATATAGATGAATGTTGGTGTTAAATGTCCCATTACATATTAAAAAGTGGCTTTCTTTATGCACAGGAAATTGTAAAAAAAAACAACTAGACGTGCCTTAGGAGGTCGGATGGACGTGTCCGTTGTCATCATTTTACAATACGGGGCAAACTGAATAAAAAGGAGCCTGGAAGCCTCGTTGATGCTGCCGGCCAAAAAGTTTGAAAAGGTGACGAAATATAAAGAAATTCATAGAATTCATGGAATGTGAATTTAATGAATATGGTTGCAGGGTTATGATATGGTGTCATACTAGTTGTGGTTTCTTAAATACGTTACAGTACAGTTTCAGTTGAATGAAATGCAAGAAAGCCTTTAATATAATCTTTCTTTTACATGATTTAGTTTATTCTGCTCAAATAAAGTGTGGATTTGTTGGCTTCTAATTGTATTTGGTAAATACAATCCTACTACTGCTTTGAAATCTTTTGACACTATATATCTTATGATCAATAAAACACATTCATCTGATTTGTTCTGTGTGACTAATTGGAAGCTAACTATTTTATGATAGTTGTCATGTAACCCATATGTTTATGATGACAGCGTCACGGTCCGTTGTTGATGTCCAGATGTTTGAACGTTTCCCACCGCTGGATGGCAGTGACATGCCGCCGGGTGAAGGGCTCCGCTAGCCGGCCGCGATCATCAGAACAACGGGCATCTGTGCCAAAGGTGGACCGCAGGAATCGGGTCGAACCCGTTGAAAGGTTCCGCCGTTAGCTGGCGGCAATTCCGTCCACTGCAGCGGCCGCGTTTTATAAGCATCAATTCCTTGTTAGAATGAATTGCATTTATATGTATTTGCAGCCACTGGTGATTGCGCATCTGGATTTAGCTTAGCTAGCTAGCCAACAAGCTAACATAGCAGCTCGCCGTGTTGGGACGTCGGCCGCGGTCGGAGCTAACTCAGCTAGCTGTCAGTCGGGGGCGATCGCCGGCCACTCGCCTGCTAATGTCGTAGCTGACGTTGAAGGGTCGCCGAGGATGTAAATGACCACGAGGCCAAAGAGACGGGACCTGGTGAGTATGCTAGCTGATATTACATTGCTAACGGTGTCCCGCTAACGCTAGCTAGCTTGACTAGCAGCCTTTCGGCTAGCCTTGTTGGGGCTAGCCTTGTTGTGCTAGCCCGTGCGGAGCCCCTCGACGCCGATTCTAGTGGTTGTTTCTTGAGCCCGCGTTACTCGTCGGGTGTAACGTCACTAAAGAGCGTAAAGGCCCCGCGGGTGAACAGCGAGCTCCGCTCAGCGCTGCGTGTACCGGCGGCGGCCGTCGAACGCCTCCGCTCATCGGGCTCCGCTTCTGCACACTCGCTGATTCCGAGGCCCGGTGTCTTTTGGGGGCCCTGTTGGTTTATTCTGTTCTGCTGTGCGACGGGAACTGGACTTCATGTGCGTGTCACGAAGACTCGGGGAATCATGCGGGGAGAAGAAACGTGATGTGCAGCTGCAGGGTCCTGGGGGGTGGGGGGGGTCACGTGACGTTGTTTGTGGGGGCTCCGGGCTGCACGACCCTCGGGTTTTCCACGTCAGGGCTCCTCTGCTTTGTCCTGTGTCGTAACGTTCGTTGCTGCATGATTTCTGGTGAAACTTGGTCCCACACCAAAACCTTCTCTTCCCCCCCCCCCTTTGGCCTCCTGTTGTTGAGGCGGTGCCAGCGATGGCCTCCCCCCTCCCGCTCTCCCTGATCCTGGTGGTTCTGCTGTTGGCCGAGTCACCTGTTTGCCAGGCCGGGGACTGCAAGGGCCACAGACAGGTGCTGAGGGGCCCTCCGGGCTACGTCACAGATGGACCAGGAAACTACTCCGTCAATGGGAACTGCGAGTGGCTCATCAAAGGTATGATGAGCCCAGATGTTGTCTCCTGCACAGACCTGTAGCCACTCAACCGCCAGCTTATCGCACTAATCATTTCCCGTCTTTTTATACCTTCCAGCTCCCAGCAACAGCCTCCGCATCGTGTTAAATTTCACCTTCATGGACACCGAGTGTACCTATGATTACCTTTTTGTGTACGATGGGGACTCCTACCAGAGTCCTCTCCTCGCCAGCCTGAGTGGCAACACGCTGCCTCAACCCGTCGAAGCCAAGTCTGGCAAGGTAACGGATCAGGACGCAACAGCCTCCGCTGTCCGTTCAATTAACTCCATGACCGCTATCCAATGTTCTGGTTCCAGATGCTGCTACATCTCTTCAGCGACGCCAATTACAACCTCCTGGGCTTCAATGCGACTTACACCTTCTCCGCGTGCCCTGGCGCCTGTGGCGGCCATGGCCGCTGTGATCCCTCCACGTCCAAATGTCTTTGCCATCAGGGTTGGGGGGGACCAGGTTGTACAACCCCCCTGTGCGCCCAGGCTTGTTCTGTGAATGGCCGCTGTGACAAGGTGAGACCGTGGGACGGGGGGGGCGGGGCTTACAGGCTTTAGTTATGTCCGCCCGATGCATCAAAGCGCTGACGATCGGCCTAAAGCTCCCTTCTTGCTCCGTGTTTTGCCTCAGAAAGGAGAGCGCTGTGTGTGCAACCCGGGCTTCCTCGGGCACAGCTGCATGCTCGGTTTACACAACGACAGCGGGGCGGGGCAGTGGTGGCGCCTAAGCGAGGGACCCCCCGACGCACCGCCGAGGACGGGTTCTGCTGGCGTGTACCTGTCCAGCACCGGAGCCATGTACTTGTTTGGCGGTGAGAGTGACATATCCTTCATTTCCACTTTGAATCTCAACCTTCTACAGATGAAATGAGCTCATGTTTGATTACGACTTGTTTTCCACCAGGGTTTGACCTGAATGAAGCCCTCGGGGACTTGATCAAATATAACTTCACGTCCAGCCAATGGGAGAGCAGGTCCTATGGTCACTCTCCTGTAAGTGATGCATCATATATCGTGTTTCCATGTCGGCCTTCTGCAGTAACTTTATGCTTTGAATCTAAATGAGAAACCGGATACGACATTTTATTAAACCCCGTCAACAACATGGCTACTAATCTGCTGGAGAAACCTTATTTATTGTCAGCGGGTAGTTGGAATAAGATTATTTGTTGCATGCAAGTAAGTCTTCCAAACAATAAAAGGTAGTCCAGATTCAGGCCTAAATCTACACGTCTAACACGGAGTTGGTTTCCATCACTTGTAAAATCCAATCCAATAGCAGATGTTTTGGGCTTTAGAGACTCACTGTGTTATCAGTCCAGAAAATATCTGTAAATAAGGATTATAACACGACGATGCTCCAACTTAACGTTTCCTTTTCACTCCCTCCCTGCACGCCGGCCGTGTTGTCAGGCGGCTCGTCATTCGCACACGGCGGTCGAGTGGGCGGGTAACATGGTCGTCTTCGGAGGGGAGCTGGCGAACGGCTCCCTGGCCGGCGACGTCTGGATGTACCGGCCGCTCAGCGACGCCTGGCAGCAGCACGGCTTTTCGAACTCGGCCGGGTCCCCTAAACTGGCCAATCACGCGGCAGCAGTGGTCGACGATCACCTCTACGTGTTCGGAGGTGGGTTCCGCGCGGCGTTTTCTCTCGGCGGCCTCGCGTTTCCCCCGTTTTGCACAAATTGATCCCTTGAGAAATGCGCCGTGGTGTGTTCGTCTCTCTCAGGTCGCACTGCGGACGATATGTTCTCCTCTTCTCTGTATCGGTTCGGCCTGAACGGCTCTGGCCGGTGGGAAGTGGTTCAGCCCACCGGTGGGAAGCCCCCGGCCTCCGCCGGTCACTCCATGGTGTTCCACAGCCCATCCCGGACCCTGCTGGTCTACGGAGGCCACCGGCCGACCACTGCCAGGTACGCACAGAGAAACGCACAACCACCAGGGGCGTTTTGTACACCGTTTTCCGTTTGCTACCTGCCATTGGATCTCCGTGTGTCTGCTTCTACCAATTGCACATTTGCACATTTGTCTCAGGTTCAGTGTGAGAGTGAACAACACCGACGTGTTCCACGTGGACAAGCGCTTCTGGACGTCTTTCCGTTCCCGTCCCCGTTTCCCAGCGAGCGGCCCCAGAGAGCGAGCGTTCCACTCCGCCACCGTCATCGGGAACTACATGGTCGTCTACGGTGAGCGGGGGGGGGAAAGAGCGACCACGAGCCAATCAAAGGGTGGTTGAAATAAAAGCAGAATATAAGTCTGTTACCTTTATTTATTGCTGTCATTCTGTGTATGTATCAGTCAATCGAGCCTTTTCCGGCCTTTCCCTTGCAGGGGGAAATGTACACATTCATTACCAAGAGGAGAAGTGCTACGATGAGGAGATCTTCTTTTACCACCTGGGCTGCCACCAGTGGGTGTCGGCGGGGGAGAGATGGTCACTCCGTAGGTGTCCGTACTTTAGACTCGACTCGAGAGCATCTTCAGATACGTTGACCACAAAACATTCCTTTCTTTCCAGGAGGGGACCCTGTGAGGGGGCGTTACTCGCACGTCGCCGCTGCGATGGAGGGGCGCGTGCTGCTGGTGGCCGGCGGTTACAGCGGCGTTGCCCGGGGAGACCTGGTGGCTTACAAAGTCCCGCTGTTTGTCAGCAGCGACCAAGGCGACCGGGTGAGCGACGGTGTCCTAGAGCCAGGCTGGAGGACGTGTTTCGCTGGGGGGGGGTCACTAAATGATGGGTGAAACTGTGCGTGTTGCCTCAACAGGACGCCGTCTGCGCCGAGGCCCTGGACGAAAGCATGTGCCTGAAGAACCCCGAGTGCAGCTGGGTGTGAAGGCCGCTGCAGAGAGTACCAGCCCGCTAATCCGGTAACACTCACTCGTGCTGCTGCAGAGCACCCACGTGGCGTATACGTGTCAGGACCAGCAGTGCAGCTCCTCACCCCCCCGCCCCGCTTGTCCCCACAGTGCGGCAGCACCGGCTGCCTGGAGCTGGCTCGCTTCCTGTCGGACTGCCAGTCTTGTCTGGTGTTCAGCAGCACTCCGGCGTCTCTGGGCTGGGCCCCCGGGGAGTTTGGCTGGTGTGTTCAGAACGAGTCCTGCCTGCCGGTGTCAGGTGAGACCCGGGGAGGGCAGAAGGAGGGCAGAAAGAAGTAGTAGAAATAGAGTGTGGGGGGTGGGGGGGCGTGGGGGGACTTTTGTTGGACGTGTTTTCGCAGATGGAGCACAGTGACCTGACTGCATGGGCTGAGGTTGCTTCTCAGACCGTGATTTGACTTTGTCCGATCGCACACTTCCTCTGCTGCAGCGAGGTCACTTGGCTTTACTCTCTCCGAACACGCGTCGCACAAAAGTCGCCGCTGGAGCTGGTTTCTCCGTACGCTGCGGTGTGATGAGGCTTTCTGGAGGTCACATGTGTTCCCTGTGTGCTGACCCCCTCCCTCTCGGTCTCGCAGAGCGAAGTGCGTGCCGTGTGGACCAGATCTCGGGGGCGTACGGCTGGTGGGGGGAGCGTCCCCGTTTCCTAACCTCCCTCCACTCCTGTCGCACCGAGAACTATGTCCCGGGACTGCACCTGCTCACCTTCCAGCACCCCCGCAATGACTCCCAGCCCGACAAGGTACGGAGTCCAAATCTCAAAGTGCTAACTGTGCCCCGGCTGTGGTTGTAAATGCTTACCCTCCGTCCTGCCTCCAACCTTCCTTTGGCAAGTTGAATGTACTCCTCCTCTGACTTCAGTGGTATAATAATATTATATTTCTCTCTCTTTTATTCTCACCTTGGCCTTTCGACCTCTACGGTCCGCTGCTCACGTGTCCGTCCTCGTTCCTTTCCCACCTCATAGAGAATATATTCCTCTTCCGAGTAGTTGCTCAAACTCGTGGAGCCGTTTGTAGGGAATAGTGCTTCCGTTGATGTGTTTCCACTCCCACCCACCCTCCCGGCAGGTGTCCATCCTCCGCAGCACCACCATCAGCCTAAGCCCCACCACAGAGATGGACGTAGCCCTGCAGTTCAGGGGCTTCGTGCACCCGTTGTGGGGGGCCCCTCCACCCGCCCCGGCCCCCACGGAGACCGTCTCCATGTGGGCTCGCATCCAAGGGCTCCACTTTGAGGCTCAAATGGCTTCGGGACCCAACTCGAGGCAACTGGTGAGGGAAAGTGCATGTCAAACAATCTCCCTTGTCTCCTTGCGCGTTGGACATTTTGACCGCCTTACTTGATAGGACGTGAAGTAGACGTAGGTTCTGTAATAAATTGTGATTGTGTACTTTTTTTTTATTTTAAAGTTGCTTCCCTACTTTTTTAGAATGCCAATGTAACTCCCAAAGCCTCCACCCAACCGTGGTCCACTTGCTCTTGGTATCTCATTGTCTGTGCACCTTCAACCCGTCGGGACAGGAGGCGGTGGGACGTTGGGCGGCCCCCCAGGAGAGGGCGTCGATGCTGCTGGCTCGCACTGACGGAAGCAGACTCTTCTCCAACCTGACCAGAGGCAACCATTACCTCGTTCAGGCCGAGGGCTACCTCAACAACTCCGGCTCAGGACAGACCAGTGAGATGGCCCTGATATGGAACAGGACATTGCCCGGAAAGAGTGTGAGTACTGGAGGGGGCGTCGACAAAAAAAGCGCTGCATTATTCTTTTTCCATTTTTCATCTCTGCCAGTTTTCTGCTCCATGGGTTTCTAATAAATGAAGCCATGATTGATGTTTTTTTAATTACTTGCCCTCCCTCTAGGAGATTTCCTTCCTTTTCCTGGAGCCGTACCGCTCCGGTTCCTGCTCGGCATACACGTCCTGTCTGGCCTGTCTGTCCGACCAGTCCTGTGGGTGGTGCCCGTCTTTGTCCCGCTGCCTGCTGAGGGAAAGCCCGGAGCCCTGTCCCGAGGGAGGCAAGGCCGAGGGGCAGCGCCATCTGCTGTTGGCCCCCCAGCACTGCACCTTGTGTGAAGAGTACAGGGACTGCTCCGCCTGCACTCAGGTGCATCTCACACACACACAACGCAGCGTTTTAAGATCGTGTCACTTGGGAGTGTATTCCTCCCTCGGGCTAAGCTGAAATTTGTCCCGTAGGACCCTTTTTGCGAGTGGCAGATAAACTCCAGTAAGAAAGGCGACTACCAGTGCAGTCGACGCGGAAGGCTGGACGGATCCATACGTGACCCGGCCGGCTGTCCCAAAATCTGCAACCAGTGAGTGGAACGACTCCTTTGTCTAACGCAGGTGAATTCACACCATGCATGTCTTTAACAAGTACCTCAGACTCACCTGATTGTCGCCCCCTTTGTCTTGCGTAGGAGAAAGACGTGTGGCGAGTGCCTCTCCAACTCCAGCCAGTGCGCATGGTGTGAGTCCGCCCAGGCCTGCTTCTATTTCGCTGCCTACCTCACAAAGTACCCCTATGGAGAGTGCAGGGACTGGTACGACAGGTAAACCGGCACTCTTCCTTTGTCTTCTTTTCATTTTTATACACAGGCCGCCGATGCTCTGTTGCAGTACGCTGGCATCACGTGATGAGAGTTTCTCTGGTTTCAGGGAATTGCAGTGATCCGCAGATCAGTAATCTTATATTCTCTTACTCTCCAGCGTGCATTCGGTTCCCCAGTGTAAGCAGTGCTCGGCTTTGAGCACCTGCACAGACTGCCTGAGGACGTTCCAGTGCGGCTGGTGCGGCGACTACAACAACCCCACAATTGGAAAGTAAGTACGGCGAGCGCACAACCAACGCAGCGGCATCACATTTAATACGGCCAAAGGCCTCACGGGCCAATCTGCCGATGTGTTTGATGTACGCGTAGTCACGTTTTCTACTCCTCTTTTTTTAGATGTCTGAGGGGAGACTGGGCCGGAGTGGACGACCCCTCAGCGTATAACTGCAGTGTGGCTGTGGCTGAGGCTCGCGCTGCAAAGTAAAATCTCGACTTCATACTTTTATGATTTGCTCCAGGAGGCATGTGACGAGGGCTTCTTCTATCGGCGTATTTTTAGACTTTGTCAGTATTGTGAAGGGAGCATCTCTGGAAGTTTGTAAATGTATTTGTTCTCTTCCTGCTTTTCCCAGTAAAATTACCCAAATGCAAGATTCTACAATAAATTCCCAGTTTATGTGTTTAAAGAAAACCTTGTATCACATTGTAATCAGTCATATCCATTTGACCAAAATAAACGACTGGGTTTTGCTCTCTGGAATCACTCAACCTAGACCAGCATTGCTCCATGGAGCAGTAAGTTCCTGCGCAGATGTTTAGGTGCACGTGGTATACTTCACCTCGTCCTGCTCTTCCAGCCCTGAGCCCCAGACCTCGGCCCCGCCGCGGCCCCTGGAGATGGAGCTGGAGCTGGAGCACTTGGACGACCAAGAGCGAGATGCGGTGTGGTCCTACCCCACCTGCCCTGATGTGGAGGAATGCCGGCTGGGTCTCCACAACTGTCACCCTTTCGCCACCTGCATCAACACGCCCACCTCGTACGAGTGCCACTGTGAGCGAGGCTACACGGGGGACGGCACGCTGCACTGCAACCAGACGTGAGAAGTGCTCCTCCGTCGCTTCATGCGTCCGCTCTCTTCGTCTAAAACTCTTCTTCGACATCATCAGTTTTTCTTTTTTCTTCTCGAATTGGACATTCTGACCCCACCTTGACCTTTTTTCCTTTTCCTCAGATGCTACAACGAGTGCCGCGAGGGCCAGTGTAGCGGCAGCCCGCGGTTTGAGTGTGAATGTTCCCTCGGCTGGACGTCGGATCCGGCCACCCTGGTTCTCAGCGGAGTCGGATGTGACGTCGACTGTGGGCTGCCACTTTCCTTTTCCCTGGGTTTCCGGGCCCCGGGAATTCGTGACAAAGCCAAGGTGAACCCCTTGAACCCCTTTCCACCGGCTGGTTTCTCTCTCTCCTCCCCGATCCTTCCCGCGCTCTACTCGTGGGAACGGACTCTGCTGAAGTACCTTCCCTGTCCTCAGACTGGACCGTGGGACCCCACTGCGAGCACTGCCGCCCGGGCAGCTTCGGGTCGGCCCTGGCCGGCGGCGGCGGCTGTGTGCAATGCGAGTGCAACGGCCACGGCGACCCTGCCCGAGGTTACTGTCACAACCAGACGGGCCAGTGCTACTGCACCCACAACACCCAGGGAGCCCACTGCGAGGCCTGCCTGGCTGGGTACTACGGAGACCCCAGGTGAGGAGATGTCTCCACACAGACATGGTGAAATGGCTTTTTGCACACTCGCCCGTCCTTCCAACCTTCTCGCTCCCACAGGAACAATGGAACGTGCTACCGGCAGTGCCAGGGTCGCTCTGTGCTGCTCTCCTCCTCCTCCTCCTCCTCCGCCGCCGTGCCCCTCTCCTCGTCGCTGGGATGGCGAAGTGGCACAGAGGGGAGAGGCGGACTTTCTCACTGCCTGTGGGTCCTTTCGGTGACGGAGAAGCTGGCGCCTTGTCCGCCCAGACAGCCGTGTCCCCCCGTGGCCCTCACCCTGCACCCAGACTCCCACACGCACTGTAAAGTGAGTGCAGACGGAGACCCGACTGTCCACCGGAGGCACCTGTGTGCTCCGCCTTGGCATCACGCGTCTTCTGTTTTCCTCAGAGCTCCTACGTCTACGTGTTTGATGGCCTCCCTCGTTTCCTGTCCAACGGAGTCGTGCATTCGGATCATAACCTGATCGGGGCGTTTTGTGGCACGACCAGGACTCAACCGATCACCGTCGAGGCCACCTCAGGTACCCGTCCGGTTATCATCCCGTAGAGGTCGTTGTGGGTGGAAATGTGCCCTGACACAGGCCCAGAACGGATACGAGCCACGTGCACCCACACGTCCTTGTAGACGCCATCAACTGCTCAGCTGATGTCGCCTCCATCGGAAGTCCTTTTACTGTCAATCATGAACACCTTGAATCAAATCCTTTTGAAGTAATTAAGTCTTATTGCTAATGAAAACCGTCAGGAGCAAAATGTCGCCCTCTGTCTTTTAACACCAGGTGTGATCTCCGTCTACTTTGAGGCCAATGTCTCCTCAACCAAACCTCAAGGCTTCAATGCGTCTTTCTGGGTGCGCCGTTGTCTCCAGAGCGCTGATGAGGGGGGCGAGGGGTCCCCCGCCTGTCCAGGTGGAGCCCTGTGCCAGGGGGGGCTCTGTCAGTGCCCTAAAGGGTACGGGGGACCCCACTGCGACCGGCCCATTTGCCCTCAGGACTGCGGAATCGCAGAAGGGAGAGGAGCTTGTAACACAGTAAGAGTTGTGACCACGTGACCATCTTCAGCTGTAACACAATGCGTTTGGGCTTCAGAGTCCCCCTGCTTTGCTTACGCACGTCTTTTTGTGGCCCCAGTCTCTGGGAGTGTGCGTGTGCTCACCCGGCTGGGCCGGCTCGGACTGCTCCGTTCAGCGCGACGCCAGCAGCCTGGTGTGGGAAACGCTGCTGGACACCCAGCTGACCGCGGTAGGGACCCGAAAGCACAGCGTCAATCCACAGTCGCACCTCCCGCTGAATCTCGGCGCTCACTGACACACGTTCTCGTACTCCGCAGAACCAGGCCCACAGGTTCCTCCACAGGATGGGACACTCGCTGGTGTCCGGACCGCAGGGCACCCTCTGGATGTATGGGGGACTCTCTCTGTCCGAGGGCATTCTGGGGAATGTTTATCGGTAAGAGCCATGAGACTTCATAGCCGTAATTACGCCGCGTGTAAGAGCACAGAAGGACATTTTGTCCCCCCCGGTTTGCTCAGATACGCCGTGTCGGAGCGCCGCTGGACCCAAATGCTGACGAGCTCCGTGGAAGAAGGCTCGACTCCCGGCCCCCGCTATCACCACGCCGCCGCCCTGCTGACCAGCCGCGAGTCCGGCTCCGGGGGCCACGGCGCCAGTCACGACTTCATGTTGGTGACGGGGGGTGTCACTCAAAACGGCGTTGCCATGGACACCTGGAGTCTCAATCTGAGCAGTTTAGTCTGGCGAGAACACAAGGTTAGACTTACTAAAAACATCTAATATCTAAACGAGTGTTTTTACCTCTGAGCGAATCGAACGTTTCCGTCTCTCCAGAGCTCCTTAGTGCCGCCGCTGGCGGGCCACACGTTGACTGTGCGCCGAGACTCGTCTGTGCTGTTGGTCGGCGGTTACTCTCCCGACAACGGCTTCAACCACCACCTGCTGGAGTTCAGCCCTCGCACCGGGAACTGGACCACCGTGTCCCACACCGGCACCCCGCCCACAGGTTTCTGATGCCTTCTCTCCTCGGTTACAGCTTACTGACTGATGCAGCACTTTTATGGGCAGAAAGCACGACTATGTTTCAAACTAGTTCCGCCCCGCGTCCTCCAACAGGTTTATATGGCCACTCGGCCGTGTACCACGAGCAGACTGACGCCATATACGTCTTCGGAGGCTACCGCTTTCACGTGGAGACCGTGGAGCCCTCGGGCGAGCTCTACAGTCTGTACTACCCAAACCTCACCTGGTCTCTGCTGGTCCCCTCCCAGGGCAACAAGGTAAGACGGCGGCGTCCTCTGGTCGGTAGACGATCCTCCGCCTGCTGCGCACTGATCACTCATCAATCCGAACATCTCTCTGCCTTGCAGCCCGTGTCCCGTTTCTTCCACGCTGCAGCCATGATCAAGGACACCATGGTCATTGTCGGCGGGAGGACGGAAGCAGAAGACTACAGCAACTCGGTGTCTCTGTACCAGATAAACTGCAACACCTGGATACAACCAGGTGACCATTATAATGTATAATAAGATTCAGTGGTGATCAAATCCTCCAGTTAGCAGGACCGTGTACGTAACCCTTCATCTCCATCTTCAGTCTCGGTTGTCGGGGATCCGGTGAATCGCTCGGTGTCTCTTGCCGTGACGAGCTGGGGCGACCGTCTCTACCTATCGGGAGGCTTCAACGGCGTCACGCTGGGCCGGCTCCTGACCCTGTCGGTGCCCGCTGACCCCTGCGCGCTGCTGCCCACCCCGGAGGCCTGCAACGTCACCACCGGCAGCTGCGTCTGGTGCCGAGGAAGCTGCGCCTCCTCTGATGCCGCTGAGAGGTGACGCGTTCGGCTTGAATCGGCTCTGCTCAGCTGCTCCCGCAGGCCGCTTCGCGTCCAGCTGCTAATTACCGCCATTTCTCCTCCTCCCTCCTTTCCATCAGGATGGCCTGCTTCACCGGCCAGAGTTCCTGTTCGCCGACCCCCCGGCAGCCGGACCAGTGCCGCAGACTGAAGACCTGCAGCGAGTGTCTCGCCCGACACCCGAAAACATTCTCCGCTCCGTCACAGGTGACCTACGCGACCCCTCTCCGACAAGCATTCACTGCGTACCAACTGAAATCCCTTTTTCCTCACTGACTTTCCCAGCCGGCTCTACAGTGCAAGTGGTGCACAAACTGCCCAGAAGGTGCCTGCATCAGCAGCTCCGTCAGCTGCACGTCTGAACACGACTGTCGCATCAACCAGCGAGAGATCTTCCTGTCCAGCAACTGCACCGAGACCAGCTGCGAGGCCTCCGACTGCCCCAAGTGCACTGCTTCTGGGAAGTGCATGTGGACCCGCCAGTTCAAGCGCACGGGTAGGGACAGAAGTTCGTGACTTCCCCGGCGCTCTCTTTTTTTACGTTTCAGTAGATTATGATTCCTTTATCATGATGGTTACATCCAGGACATCATGGATGAATCATCAATGTTGCAGCTGAAGGTAATTCGCTCTTCTGCTGATCAACATTTAGGTCGTCCTCCGTCTCATCACGTGTGGTTTGCGTTGTGATTCCTCCCAGGTGAGACCAGGCGCATCCTGAGTGTGAACCCCACCTACGACTGGACGTGTTTCAGCTACGCGCTGCTCAACGTCTCGCCCATGCAGGTGGAATCGTCTCCCCCCATGCCGTGCCCTCCGCCCTGCCACAGCCTCCAGAACTGCAGCCTGTGCCTGGGCTCGCGGGGCTCCGACGGGGGCTGGCAGCACTGCGTGTGGAGCATGGCGCTGCAGCAGGTGAGGCCGCCGCGCTGCAGCTTCTGCCCAGTAATGCTGCTGTTTCGTCGTTTAAACCAAACCCGCTCATGCGCCGCCTCTCCCCTCCCTCTAGTGCATGAGCCCTTCTTTTGTGCCCCTGCGTTGTGAGGCGGGTCAGTGCGGCCGTCTGCTCTCCGGGGGGGACTCCTGTTCCCCCCAATGCCCCCAGCTCACCCAGTGCTCCCAGTGCATTGCCAGGCCCCAGTGTGGTTGGTGTGGCACTCAGGTGGGCAATGGGGCCGGACGCTGCCTGCAGGGAGGTCTCGATGGTGAGAAATATCTTGAATAAGTTCGATGTGTAACCGGATCCTTTTTCGTTCCACCCGAAATCAACCTAAATGTCTGCTTGTGTTTCACTCGCCCTCCCTCCCTCCCTCCCTCCCCCCCTCCAGGTGTGAGTGAGGGCGTTTGCCCCCTGGTGAACAGCAGCTGGTCCTTCCTTCACTGTCCACCGGAGGACGAGTGCGCCAATGGCCATCACCACTGCAACAGCACCCAGGACTGCCACGACCAGCCGCAGGGCTACCACTGCACCTGCAAACAGGGCTACATACTCAGCAGGTGGGAGCGCGCGGCATCGTACGCACGCCGCGCTGCAGTGTGACGGGATCTGTTTTCACCAGAATCCGCCCTGTTTGTTTGTCCGCAGTGTGTCTGGCCAGTGCGAGCCGGTGTGCGCGCAGGGCTGCGTGAACGGGACGTGCGTGTCCCCGGGCGTTTGCCAGTGTCACTTTGGCTTTGTGGGGGAGAACTGCTCCGCTCAGTGCAGCTGCAACAAGCACAGCAACTGCGCCGGGGTCAGCAAACCAGATGTTTGCCTGGAGTGCCACAATAACACCGTAGTAAGTGCTTTATAGGGGCGTTAAAGCAACGTTTGCATGGCGCCGCCCCTCCCAGACTCTGATTCTTTTCCCGTTTCCAGGGCAGACACTGCGAGAAGTGCAAGCCTCTGTTTGTGGGCTCGGCCAAGGGGGGGGGCACCTGCCGTTCGTGTCGGGAGTTTTGCCGAGGAAACAGCGCTGTGTGTTTATCCGGAGATTACATTAAGAAGGCCCTCGAGAACCCGGGCCAGTACCACCTGGAGCCCAGCAGCGTGAGTCCTCATCCCCTTGGATGTAATTAGCCACACGCGGGTACACTGCCGTCGTTCTTATCCGGGGTCCCTCTGTCCCTCTGTCCCGCTCGTCAGATTCCGGGCTTGATGTCCGAGGGTCCCACAGAAGAGAACGCCGTCTGTGTGAACTGCCAAAACAACAGCGTGGGGGACAAGTGTGAGAGCTGCCTCAGCGGCTTCTTCCTGCTGCAGGGCAAGTGTGAGAAGTGAGTGACGGGTTCTTCCTCGTGACCAGCGTCACAGCGTGTCACATATTTCACTCTTTTAAAGGTTTTAAAGGCCTTTCTGAGTCCAGGCATGAGGGGCCGTTCTGATACGAGACATCAACACGCACGCTTACTGCCTGTTGCTAACCGTCTCGCATAGTTCTGAGATGTTCCCTCTGAGGGTTGTGGATCTGATCCTTGCAGATGTCAGTGTAATGGCCATGCGGACACGTGCAACGAACACGATGGGACAGGATGTCCCTGCCAGAACAACACCGAGACGTCCTCCTGCCTCAGCAGCCCCCAGAGTGACCGCAAAGACTGCTACAGGCAGCAGGTAAGATGTTCCGTCCCATGTAGGTGGCTATCGTATCATGTAATAAATGCACGTGAAACCCATTGTTAATCAGTCCTGTCTGGAGGACTTAACAATTAAAATGTCCCGAGTGTTTTAGCATTTTGTTAAGAACTTAAGTGCAGAATTATCTAAATGGATTCAAGTGAATAAATAAATGGAAACGGGTCTGGTGATGGAGACACATACGTGCACATTTACCCTGTCCTGAATAAACTGCATGTGAGGTGTGTGTAGTTTTCTACACGCAGGAGATCGTTGATCGATCTGATCTGTTTTCTTCCAGTGCGCCAAGTGCAAAGACTCGTTCAACGGCACGCCGGTGAACGGGCGCCAGTGCTACCGGCAGTTCAACGTGGACACGGAGTGCTGCTTCGACCCCACGTCGCAGGCCAACTGCTTCCACGACCCCGCCATCCGCAACCTGCCCCGCGGCCGCACCGTGTTTTTCTCGGCGCAGCCAAAGTTCACCAACGTGGACATTCGGGTCACCATCGACGTGACCTTCGGCGAGGTGGAGGTGTACGTGTCCAACTCCCACGACATCTTCATCGTGGACGTGGACCGACACAGCGGGGTGCACGCCATCCGGATCGAGGAGGAGGCGGTGACTCGTGGCGGGGCGGCGGCGGCGGCCGGCGGAGAGAAGGAGTCCCCTCCGTCCCCCATAAAGGTGTGGGCCAACGCCTCGTCCGGCCTCGGGGGTCCCGTGCTCTCCCACACCCCCCTGCAGCTGCAAGGCAAAGTGCCGGGGGCCGAGCGGGAGATCACGTGGGAGCGAGCGGAGGGGCTCATCACTTACATCACCGTGTGGAAGCCGCAGACGGTGCTGATCGTCCGGGGTGTCCGCGACCGCGTGGTCATCACCTTCCCCCACGAGGTGCACTCCCTCAAGTCCAGCCGCTTCTACATCGCTCTGAGGGGCGTGGGAACCGACCAGCGGCAGGGGGAATCCCAGGGCCTGCTGTTTCTGCGACAAGATCAAGCCCACATCGACCTTTTCGTCTTCTTCTCGGTTTTCTTCTCCTGCTTCTTCCTCTTCCTGTCCGTCTGCGTCCTCCTGTGGAAGGTCAAGCAGTTCCTGGACTTCCGTCGGGAGCAGCGTCGCCACATCCAGGAGATGACCAAGATGGCGTCGCGGCCCTTCGCCAAGCTCACCATATACTTCGAGCCAGAGGAGCCTCAGCTCATCTACCTGCCGTCGGCTGGTGGGGGGGTGGGCGGCGGCGGCGGCACTGTGTCGCTGGCTCACGCACGCACAAACAAGTTGGGAGGGGTGGTGGTGGGCCAGAGGGGCCGGGCAGCAGCCGTCTCCTACAAACATGACTCGGGGCCCACAGCTCACCACCACCACCACCACCACCTCACCCTGGGTGGAGGGGGCACCGGTGGCCAGCACCTGCCCCTGCACTACTTGAACACCCACCACTACCCCAGCGCCACTTCTGGCCCCCCGGCGTCCCACCATCACCACCCGTCCACGTACAGCGGCTACCAGCACTTCTGCCGCTCCGACCCCTTCCTCTCTCAGCTCATGGGCTTCTCCTACTCCACCTTCAAGGTGGGGCCCATCACGCTGGAGCCCACCGACGACGGCATGGCGGGCGTGGCCACCGTCCTCTTCCAGCTGCCGGGGGGCGTCTTGGCTCCGAATCGTGCCTGTCTGGGTTCCGCACTCGTCACTCTGCGTCAGAACCTGCAAGAATACTGCGGCCACGGCAACGGAGGAGGCGGGCACCCAGGGGCCGGGCGCAAGGGGCTGCTGGGGCATCAGCACCTCACCACTATGGCGATGTAGAAGCGGCGTTATTATTTAAGGGGACGGAGACAAAAGCGATGGGATGAATCCGTAAAGTGTTCGACATGTGACGAATGAGAAAGAGTTCTGAACAGAGATGTAAATACACTGTGTAATGAATTAAGTGTCTTTTATTGTATTGCTGTATTGGATTTCAGCGCTTCACGCGACCAAGCCGGCTGACTCTGGGACGCAGCTCGGCCGCCCCGTCTCCTCGCAGGAGGACGCGGCGCAGGTTCTTCTCACAGACCAACGCCGGCGCTCTGTGGAACCCGAGATGTGCTTTTAAAGTGACAATCACTCCGGCAAATGAGAACAAAAGCTTCTTAAACCGGTTCCGCACAGCGTGCACGAATCTGACTGCCAGCTTAGCGCCGTTAAAGAAGTCCGAGTTGCTTGTGAGATGTTTTTCATATCCGAGTGAGTCTGTAGCTGCAACTGTTTATGTTGAACAGACTCCCGAGTTGTTTTTTGCATATTAATTCACTGCTCTGTTTATTTGTGCTTCTGCCTTCACTTCTTGCCTTGTGTGTGTGAGTCGACCGGCTTGCATTTAATGACGGTAACACGTACGCCGTATGGTTCTTGTAAAGAAATGAAGGATCGTGTTTTCATTGTTGCTTCCACACACTAAAAAGGTTTGTAAGACAAATGAACTCGTGCATCCAAATGAAGATGTGTCCTTTTTAAAGCATTTCATCACATTTTGTTGGTTTGAAATGTATTTTGGTGTTTGGCTACTTTTGCTGGACTGCTTTTTTCAGGCAACTTGTCTGCTTAGATTGTATTATCCAATCCTGGCTATGATTTGATTTAGAAAACAATTGGATGTGGTTAAAAAAAAGATCCAGTATGGGAAATACTGAGATTACAATGTTGATGGAACGAGTTCTCCTGGAGAGATTTTTATTGTGTTTGTACTTTGTGTTTTTTATTTGCGATGCGACTGATTTACTGGTTCAGTGTTTGTTGACACTTGTTTTCCTTTTTGCACTGCGTGGAGGCAGCGAGCCCCGTTTCTCTCGTGAAGCACGGCGGGGAGGACGCGGCGTCGTGGATGAAGTCCGCGTGAACAGAATCATGGTAGCACGAGTATTTTATCATGAACTCAATACTCACGGCGTATACAAGTACACTAAAGCTCAAATAATACAGCCCCTATTTATAACCCTTCACAAAAAGCATTAATGCGTTGTTTTCGTTGTCTCGTATCTTTGTTTTTGTTTTTTAACACATTTTTGTACATAACTTTAGTTGTTTTCTTGTTTTCAAAGAAGGGAACTGTGTTGTACGGAAGTTGGCATTAAGATTCTGTCCCGAGTTGACTGAATAAAGTCTGTGGAAAATGACAGTTTGTTTTGTACAGAGGAGGAAATCTGTTCCTCTAAATGTTTTGTTGATTTCAAAAGGACAGTTATGACTTGAGATTGAGGAAATAAATGAGATGTCAATAAATAGAATGCTGCGGTTCCGCAAATCATTGTTTTAGATGAATTGACATTTCCATCATTTATTATCTTGTATTAATACTGACCTAAAATCTACCCTTTGTTATTTGAGTAAGTCAAGAACTTCATTTTCACTGTAAGCCGGCACCAACCTGCATCTCCGTGGTGCTCATTTCCAACTCAATAATTATGAATCTGACTGCTTTATAGATCTTTAAATGTAAAGATGTATGTCAGAGGATCATTCCTAATGCAAACAATATACATTATTTTTGTATTTATGAACAGAACCAGTGAACATCAATATCAATCAGATATCACATCCTGAACACTGGTTAGTGAAATTACACAACAAAAATTATAATATAATGATCTTAAATTAGGAACGTTTACTACTTTCGTTGTATTTGTGTTTGTGGACAATTTCGTTAAATGAATTACGTTTGGTTTAGTACTTTCACATGTGCGTAAACAGCCCCCAATAAATAAATAAATAAATAAATAAATAACAACCAAACGGTTGCTGTGGCGTTGGTGACGTCACGGGACTGGACGCCACGCCGGAAGGAGGTCCGAGCCCGGTTGGCCGCCGCCGCCGGAAGTGAGCCGCTCCTCCGGCGTTGTTGTCGCCGAAGCGAACGTGAGCTCCGATGCTTTAGAGACGGCGACGATTCAACGCGGTTGTCTTTTCTCCACAGCGGACACGTCCCGAATGACGTCACCCGCGTCGCCAAACGTGACGCTGCTAGCCTGCCGCTGCTAGCCTGCCGCTGCTAATACGCTACCGCTGCTAGTGGGTTAGCTTAGCTGTGATGCTGCCGTTAGACAACAGAGCGACGAGTAGACGAAGGCGTGTTTCCGCTCGCATTGATGACTCTGCCTCTCTCCCTTGCGAGATGTTCCTCTCAACGACGTGTTCCTCTGGTCCACAGTGAAGAGGCGAAATCCCAATGGTGACAACATGAAGATGGAATCTGCCGTGAAGCAGTGTTTGCTGCCCAGAGCCCAGAGAGGAGAGAAACCACACGGCGCGGACGGAGGACGGGATGAACGTGAGTTGGAGCCGGTGGGTGAGGAGGACTCTCCTGAAGAGGACACCGATGGAGGGGGTCCCAACATCCGCATCAAGGAGGAACCGCTTCCGCAGGACATCAGTGGGGGGCACACTGGAGACCCGCCCGGCTGTTCAGACACCAACCCAGACTCCCATACGCTCAGGGCAGATGTGGACCAGCTGCAGGGAGGCGTGAAGGAGGAGTGTGACTCCGACCAGCGACCCGGTCCTCGGGTGACGGAGGCGGCCGTGAAGGAGGAGTGTGACTCCGACCAGCGGCCCGGTCCTCAGGTGACGGAGGCGGCCGTGAAGGAGGAGTGTGACTCCGACCAACGACCCGGTCCTCAGGTGACGGAGGCGGCCGTGAAGGAGGAGTGTGAGTCGTGGATTAAAGAAGAGCCGGACGAGCAGGAGGCAACGGGCACCTCTGAAGGAGATCATGGAGAGGAGGTCTGCACAGGTAGGGGCCGACCCTCTATCTGCAGTAGAAGAAGAGAAGAGTTCTTCTTCACATAGATCTCATTGATACGACACATTTACTGTATTTGTTTCCCATACGTTTAAATACTTCTATATTGTCTGTGTACATTAGATCTTACTCTTCACCTCTTTGCTTTCTGCGTGTTTCTCTCTCCGACATAGAGTCGTCATGTGACTTCTATCCGTGTCCTCACTGCACGGTCTCCTTTACTGACCTGGACTTCTTGGAAAAGCACGTCAAGTGGGTCCATCAGAAACAGTATCTTGCCAATCTGAAAAAATGCCTTGCGAGCAGCACACTTCTGATCCCCAAACACACGTGCGCCGTCTGCAGCGGCACCTTCAAATCCAAAGTCCACAGAGGGTGCACGCCCGCGAAGCCCACCCGGCCGCCCCGCCCCGCAGACTGCACCCCTGCCCGACCTGCGCGCGCAGCTTCCAGTACCTGAAGAACCTGAAGAATCACTGCCAGCGCTGGCACAGCATGTCCGTGGTCACCGCGGGGGGGCACCTCAGCTGCGCCGACTGCGGGAAGAGCTTCAAATCCACCTGGGGCCAGGGGCCTCACTTGTGTCACGAGGCGGCCAACGCGGAGTCCGAGGACCAGCCGATCTGCCTGGACGTTGGCGTGCAGTGCCAGGAGTGTGGCAAGAAGATGGGCACCCCGCAGAGCCTGCAGGACCACATGCGCACCCACACGGGCGACCGGCCCTTCGCCTGCAGGGACTGCGGCCGGAGGTTCGTGGAGCGCAGCGGCTGGCGGCAGCACGTGAAAATACACACGGGGGAGAAGCCCTTCAAATGTCAGGTGTGCGGCAAGGCCTTTCTGAGATCGCACCACCTCAAGTGCCACCTGACCACGCACTCGGGCAAGAAGGAGTATTCCTGCGCCGAGTGCGGGAAGGAGTTCGGGTTCAAGTCCAGTCTGGATCTCCACCTGCGGACTCACTCCGGTGAGAAGCCCTTCCCCTGCGGCGTGTGCGGGAAGAACTTTAACACCCAGAGGAACCTGAGGGTGCACAGCAAGCTGCACACCACGGAGAAGGCTCACCAGTGCGGGGAGTGCGGGCTGAAGATCGGAGATCTCGGGGCTTTGAAGATCCACCTGCGGACCCACACGGGGGAAAGGCCTTACCACTGCACGGTCTGCGGCAACAGGTTCATCCGCCTGGCGCACCTGCGAAACCACCAGCGCACCCACACCGGGGAGAAACCCTACAAGTGCGGCGACTGCGACAAGAGCTTCACCCAGTCGGGCGACCTGGTGAAGCACAAGAGGGTCCACTCGGGGGAAAAGCCCTACGAATGCCCCGACTGCCACAACCGCTACACCTCCTCCGGGGATCTGGGCAAGCACAGGAGGAGCCACAGCGACCTGCGGCCCTACGCCTGCCCGCAGTGCGGGAAAGGCTTCCGCTTGTCGGGCCATTTGAAAACGCACATGCTGACGCACACGGGGGAGAAGCCGTATTCCTGCCCCAACTGCCTCCGCAGGTTCGCCCGCTCCCACCACCTCTCTGGTCACATGGCCAAATGTCGCTGAGCGCCGGTGAGAGAGCCGTATATAAAGGGTGGATGCCGCCGCGCAACGGGCGCTATAACGAATGTACCAACCGGCATCTGTTTGTGATTATTTAATGTTAGCATTTCTCCTCCTGCACAATGAAATATGTAATAATTTATTTGCTGAATGCATGAGCTCTGTGTGTGCTTGGTGGCCGAAGATTTTTTTTTTTTAAATTTAATTTCCCATTAAATGGTGAATTGTGATTCCTTCCCATTAAACGTCTGACACTCTTCAGCTGTCGTTTGTTGCTCATGCGGCTCCTGATTCACTCGCTTAAGTTCACTCTGTGATGATAGAACTCAATCCACATTTGTTTTATAATGCATAATTGTTCTGATAATGGATCTCGCTCTGGAATATAGATTACAGGCGTAGACCAAAAATCTGAACGTGCGCTGTTGATGGAAACAGAGAAATCGTCGTTTGTATGCTGCTCTATTCGTTTGCACGTTGTGTCCTGCAGAAGAGGAGCGAGGGGCGCGCCGACGGGACCGAGGCGCTCGTCTTAACAACCCACACACCATGTGACTACATTAACACATGACCTCATTAGATGTTCGTTCATAGACACTGGTACGAATGAACAAAGCGAGAGAGGAAGCAACCGGGGAGCCGGAGGTGGAGGGATCTCACCTGTAAGTGAGTCCCAGAGGAGCAGAGAGAGTCTGAGGCCTGCAGGCGGAGGCGGAGACACTCGTACCTGCAGACACGGCGAGCCCGCCCACCTAATCTGAGCTAATCCGCCTCAGACCGCTGCTTCGCTCAACACCCTTCTGAGCTTATTTTGGACTAATTAAACTAGCAGCACAAATTCGCTTTCCAGGATTGGAATTCCTTTGATATTTCTAATTGATTATTTAACACGACTTTGATGTTTTAAGAACTTACTTTGAGATGTTAAATTGACAGTTAAGGGATTAATTAGTTTTCTAGAGCTCAGTATTTGAATAGTTATATGACGGATGCCGGGTTCATAAGCTTAGTCTGGATGTCCCGTTTGCTTGTTGAGGCCCTGGCAGAAGCCCCCAGTCATCGGTCATGACTACGGGGGGGTGGAGGGGGGATGGAGGTCAGACCAGCGTCTGGACCCGCGTCCGTTCTCTGTTCCACCCGTCGTTTCCGCAGTGGAAGAAAAGCAGAAGGAGAAGCACCGTTTTCTTATTGGCTGGTGTCCTGACAGGAATATTAATCTGCATAACAATGTGACATGTGCAGCACGACATGCTAAATATACATGTTACACGTGTTTACTGAGATAAACCAGCAAAGCATTTCTGGTAATATGTGTTAGACATTTAAGGTGTCACGTGGTACTATAGTAGTTTTTGGGCTCGGGGACCAGATGACTTTCACTAATGTTACTAACTTCGAAATTGTAACATTGTAATTTCATTTTGTTTCTATTTTTTAATCCCTCCTTGTCGCTTGGATGAGGACATCTTCGCCTCCTTTCCTCCCCCAGGACGAGGCCCCTCAGCCGGACCCGCCTCGGTCAATTCGGGGGGAATTGCTCTATTATTTCTACGTCCGCAATTACGAGGACGGAGCGGATAACAAAGATGTATTTAAGAGTAAATAATATTGAGTGTACCTTTTGTCCGAAGCTGGAATCAATACTTCTTAAAGCGTGTCCATTTTTCATTTAGCCGCGTCATGTCTGTGCAGGTGGGGGGGGGGGCAGAGAGATGAATGGCTGCATTCTCTAATTCCCCCTGTTGCAGTTATCATAATTGTTGAACAAGCGCGGCTTTTAAAGATCGGCCTGGAGGAGACGAGGCCGCGCAAAGAAAGTTTAATAGATTTGGAAAATTGAGATTGATGCAAAGCAGCCGTCTCTCTTCGGACAAACATGATCCGGGGACGGGGTACCGGGTGGGGG